GTCACATTCTCCTGTTCTAAATAGTTTTTCCAAGTCCGTTCCCATGATAATCTGGCATCCTCCATAAGCTTTAATAAACATCAATAAGAATACGTTCTGCATGTTTCAGGCCACTTAGAACATCTTCTTGCCCCAGCTCTATGTTGAATGTTCCTTTCGGCAGATTACCTCTGTCGGAAGTGATTAATAATGTGCAAAATTCTTCTTTAACAGGGAATTGAACGATAATTATCTCACAGGGAGTATTCCGCCTGAGCTTGGGAAGCTTACTGAGTTATATGACCTGTATGTTCATCCTCCATGATTCCTAATTTCCGGAGCTTAATATTCTTTTTTTAAATTTATATATGCAGATTGTTTGTAATTCTTCCTAATAATAAAGTTTTAATATGATGACTCCATATATCATGGTTGATTCCCTCATTCATTGTCTCAGGAATGTTGCCAACAATAATCTCGAAGGACCGATTCCCGATAATATCAGCTCCTGTACAAATCTCAACAGCCTGTAAGCAGGTTATCGTAATTTTAGTTTCCTTTATATGGAAAGTTGGTATCATGACTCTTTACGTCATCGTGCAGCAATGTGCATGGGAACAAATTGAATGGGACTATTCCCCCTTCTTTGCAGAGGCTAGAGATAATGACAAAACTGTAAGTAGCATTACTAGAACTCCTTTCGATCATTGTTTGTCACGGTGCTTCTTTCATTGCTAGAAAGAGTCGATAAGCATTCTTTGGTGACAGACTTTATCCCTTCACATAATCCTTTTCCACCATTTTGATTGCTCCTCTGTGTAGGAATGTTTCATCAAACAATCTTAAGGGTTCCATTCCAATTGAGCTTTCCCGCATTGGGAATTTGGATATCCTGTAAGTTTAGACTTCCTTAGTTTCTTTAATGCCCATGGTCAACACGTTTGGATTGTTGCTTATTTCTACTCTTACACAGGGATCTTTCCAATAATAAGCTCAGTGGTTCTATCCCTTCTTCTCTTGGCGACTTGGAACATCTGCTGAAGCTGTGAGTGTCGTAAACTAGAAAACAATGGTCCCATGGAGATGGGAGGCATCATCTGATGTTGTGCTGATTTCTCTGTTTGTTCTGTTTGCAGGAATCTGAGCAGAAATCACTTGACAGGATTTATTCCTGCTGAGTTTGGCAATTTGAGAAGCATCATGGATATGTATAAAACCTATCATCTCATGCTACTTGCTGAAATTTACTTTGAAGACGGATGAATTCCTGAGTTACTAATTTAACTCTCTATGTTGCAGAGATCTTTCAAATAATCATCTATCTGGCTTGATCCCTGAAGAACTTAGTCAACTTCAAAACATGTTCTCATTGTACGCATTCTCTCCCTTCGATGGGCCTACGATGTTTTATATAATATTCCTAAACTTGGATATTTAATTTTAGGGTTCATGTTTTCACGCATCAAATGTAGATAATGTTATGCCTAACTTTACAGGAGGCTGGACCATAATAATTTATCTGGAGATGTGATTTCACTGATGAATTGCCTTAGTCTGACTATTCTGTAAGTTCATTGCTGTCCCAATCCTGTCCCAATGCTGCATAGATAATAACGGTACAATATTTTCTTAAATTTTGTAGAAACGTATCATACAACAACTTGGTTGGGCAAATACCCACAAATGACAATTTCTCCCGGTTTTCACCAGACAGGCAAGCAAAATAGATACTAAGCTTCATGAATGAGTAATCCTGAACATCTCCACTTGCATACCAGCTTTTTCTTTTTTTTTTTTTCAAATTTTCTATAATCGTTGGTGCAGTTTTGTTGGGAATCCTCGACTCTGTGGCTATTGGCTAAATTCTCCTTGTGGCAATTCTCACCTGACTGAGAGAGGTAAACATGAATCTAAAGCATGTTCTGTAGTAGCTGCTTTGCCAAATACATGCTTTTGATCATAAAGAACAACAATACATGCTTCAGATTTCAAAGAAAAGAGGGAAATTTGGTTTCTTTCATCTTCTGTTCACCTAAATCTATTTTTTCTGGGACCTTACATATGAAGAATGACCAACCATACAAAATAGCACTGGGTACTGTTTTGGGGTGATATGTTCATTTTAGCTTTGAGATGCATGTTACATAATATTTGGTTGTGTAAGTGATTTTGTGTATTCTTACTATTCATATTTGCAGTTACAATTTCTAAAGCTGCCATATTGGGAATTGCTCTTGGTGCACTTGTTATCCTTCTCATGATTCTCGTGGCAGCATGCCGACCTCAGAATTCTAAACCATTCGTTGATGGATCCCTTGATAAACCAGGTACCATGCATCTTGAGTAACATATTTCTTACTGCATCATAGAATGGGGATATTTTCTTCAACAACTATATAAGCTCATGCTTGTGAACTTATCAGTTGTACTTTAGGAACTGTACTTCTACCATCAGCAGGATTACCTTGACATGTTTGCCTTGCCTCATGACTTATGTCCTTATTATGATAAACAAGCACGCGTTGTCACCAAAACGAGATTCTTGGTTCTGACAATGAGCTCTTTTGAAAATCCTGTGAAACAGTTTTTGCCTGTAGTGAAATCATTGAGCCTGTAATCTTGCACTTAACTCTTATATTGTTGCTCAATAGCCATTTACTACTCATCACCAAAGCTGGTAATTCTACACATGAACATGGCCCTACATGTCTACGAGGATATCATGAGGATGACTGAGAATTTAAGTGAGAAGTATATAATTGGTCATGGGGCTTCAAGCACAGTATACAAATGCGTTCTTAAAAATTGCAAGCCGGTCGCCATCAAGAGACTCTACTCTCAGTATCCGCAGTGCTTGAAGGAGTTCGAGACAGAGCTTGAGACCGTCGGAAGCATCAAGCACCGGAATCTCGTCTGCCTCCAAGGATACTCTCTGTCTCCTTCTGGCAACCTTCTTTTTTACGATTACATGGAAAATGGGAGCCTCTGGGATATTCTCCATGGTGAGTGAAGTTTCTCTCTAATGACATGGTTGTCCTGTTCAAGAGCCTTTTAGGCAGATTCAAACATCAAACTTTTTCCCACCATATGTGAGAACTAGATTGAGTAAGCACGTAAGAGTAAAAATCTGAAGTGGCTTTTATTATACTCATTTCACTCTTCTGCTAAATTTTCTTCAATTCATGTATATCGAAATCCTGAAATAAATCAGTCTTAGGTTTTGATTGTATCAGGATTCTTCCGACCTTAGATCTTTACGATTTAATGATTTCTGTAGGCCCTGCAAAGAAAAAGAAGCTTGACTGGGATGCTCGTCTCAAGATAGCACTTGGTGCCGCTGAGGGGCTTGCATATCTCCACCATGATTGTAGTCCCCGCATCATCCACAGGGATGTGAAATCATCAAACATTCTACTTGATAAGGAATTTGAGGCGCATCTCACTGATTTTGGGATTGCAAAGAGCCTGTGCACAACGAAGTCCCATACTTCTACGTGCATAAGGGGGACCATTGGATACATAGACCCAGAATATGCCCGCACTTCTCGCCTCACAGAGAAGTCAGATGTCTACAGCTATGGAATTGTTTTACTCGAGTTGCTGACTGGCAGGAAAGCAGTGGACGACGATTCTAATCTCCATCACCTGGTTTGTCTTTCATCCAAAATCCTTTAATTCCTCTCGTTTTCTTTTGGTTCATACTCTTACAAGAACAAGTCTGTTGTGAGTAGTGGCTAGTAGAATCTTGGGCAATTGCATAATATCAGCAGTTTAGTTGCCCGACTGAATGATTTTAGATTGGTCATGGTATCAAACGTGTTCTTTGCACGCTCTGTGAGTTTTTGAAAGGCAAGGTTGTCATATCCTGGTTAGGACTCTAGGATTCTGCATGTTTGGTCGATCTCTGCAGTTTTTCGTTGTTCACAACAATGACAACTTGCATAATGCAAAATAAGTACGTCTTGCGATTTCTCTTATGTTAATTGCTTTGGATTCTCATTAGATCCTATCCAAGACTGCAAGCGATGCTGTAATGGAAACAGTTGATCCCGACGTCACTGCCACATGTAAAGATCTCGGAGCTGTGAAGAAGGTTTTCCAACTTGCTCTCTTGTGCACTAAGAGGCAACCATCGGAACGTCCTACCATGCACGAAGTGGCTAGAGTTCTTGCAAGCCTGGTGCCGTCCACAACCCCACCGAAGCAATTGTCCACGGTAGGGTCCGCTCTCCCGTGCACAAAGATAGCTAGTTACATGGATGAGTACGCAAATTTGAAGACTCCGCACTTGGTAAATTGCTCGGCCATGAGCACCTCGGATGCCCAACTCTTCCTGAAATTTGGTGAGGTGATCTCTCAGAACAGCGACTTGGAGCCGGAAAAATCGGCTTAAGAAGGACGAGTAGGCTATTTTAGGTGGGATGGAGGCAAGAGGGAAAATGTGTATAATTATGTGGTACTTCACGTTCTCTTAGCAAGTTCTAGTACTTTTCTTTTTTAGTACCAGTTTCTAGCTTAAGTGAAAAGGTTTGAACAAACTCTCACTGATACTGATAGGTCAAATGGGTTGTGCCCAGATTCTTCCATGAGCGCTGTACTGTGTTTAAGTATGATACTAATTTTTGCACATGGTGGACAGCCGTCGCTGCCGTCTGGTCCTGTATGTCATCGAGTACTCCTGTTCTGATGGTAGAAAAGTACTAATGAGCAGACGCAGTGGAAAATACATCAAGGACCATTTGCCAAAAGAGTTCTGTTCGTAGTGCATTATGCAGCATCTGAATCGAAATAGATCCAGTCTAACGCGCTGACTGAAGGTGGTTCAGTTCAGTCGGGTTTTTCCTGGATGGAGAGGCATGTTCTCGAGCTTTTGTTGGGAGAAATCTTGTTTATGCCACAAATACATCTTTTTCTATGTTTTTGGACGGTTCATTTCTGCTAAACATTGTTTGACCCATTAATTAAAACTCAGGTTTTATTAACCTCAAGAATCTCTCGCATCTTCCATCCGAAGTTCAAAATTCAACAGCACAAGCCCTAGGGCATTTGATTTAGCAGAAAACACACGAGCATTACAAATAGACTACAATTTCTTTGATGCTAGTGAACATATTTACAAACTTCCAGTCCATCGTCCCGCAAAATACATGGGCAATGGCTTTGAACCTCAGATGTAGCGGTCGCACTGCCCACCTCGTAGTTTTGCAATGTCCTGAAACTCTCGTAGAGAAATAAATTAGTACAAGTGGAACATGTATCCAAAACCTGACTAAAACCCATACAACCCGCGCCCCCCCCAACCGCCCGCCCACCCCCCTGAACACGAATGAACCTCATGGAAACTAAACCGAACCGAGCCTAGCACAATCTACAGTTCTCAAGCTATATCCTCAAAGTCAGCTTTTTCAGTAACCGAGTCATAGACGGCTGAGCTCGATCGGTTTGCACATTGCTGCAGATCAGCTAAGGAGTACGACCGCCAGGGCGAGAAATTCCGTTGAGGAGAAGCAATCTGGTTATGAGAACCCTTCCCACGCGGATGAAGAGGTGGAAGCCGAGGAGGAGATCGTGAAACAGAGCTGGTACTAGAGTCTTCACTTGTGGAACTAAAACTCTCTGAGTTGCACATAGCGACCGCCAGGGCCAATGTACTCTTGCTCGAGCTGAGCGGTCTCTTAGATATCCCCGCTATGTTGCTTCTAAGAGGGAAATTGCGGCTTTTGTCCCACGTGTAACTGGATGCGAGCATATTTCTGCGCCTTCTGCTAAAGGCATTTTCAGGTTTCGCGATCTCTTTTACAGATGAAGAAGAAGCATCTGCTAAGCTTGTGAAAGATTTCGACTTGCCATCATAGAACTTTGATATGCCCCTCCTGCAAATAATCAAAAGCAACCATAAGCAACGGCACATAAGAGATGTTATATCTTTGCGTATAGGGAAGGACCATTTCAACTCAAAACTTTCCCCCGTGTTTGAGAAAATCGACTCAAATCGCGTTTTTAAGGTAGAGCAACCGTTTCCACATCAAGTATGCAAAAGCAGTCACTTATCTCTACTCTAGCCTAAGACAATCTAACCATTGACGAAATTCCAGAGGAACACAGCAACCAAATCTGATAATCCCATGATAAACAGATGATGAAACTTATAATCACTACCCTTAACTGAAAAAAGAAGAAGGCCCATCAAAGCTGTTTGTCATCCTAAACCTTAAACGAGGTTCCTGCTAAATACTTGACTATAAAATTATGATGCTACCCCGGATTCAAGGCAAGCCAGCACATCGTCCCGACTTAGTTTTCCTTTCCAGAAGATCTCTAACCCTAGTTCATGCAACGACCGACCAAATTTTGCTTCAATCGAATGAACGTGAAAAGCTAGACACAGTACTCTAGCATCACGCATCAACGAGCATCAAGTCAATAAATTGATAAGAACCTTTACGACGCAACACCAAATCTTGAGCAGATACAGAGGTACAACAATCCAGGAAACATTCTTCCAACACCCACCGAAGAGAATCTCCTGTAAGCATCAGACTCGCAGCACAGAGCGATCTAAACCTAATCCCATCCTCGAGTAAGCTCTCGGTCCCCTAAGAGATCGATTAAATTGACGAGCTTCGATCGATTTACCTCATAGGCAAGACCTCCTCCAGCGCGTCCATCATCTCCAGCGGCCCCTTGTAAAAGCTCTGCACCTCGTGCTCCTCCCCGTCCTCCTCCTCCTCCCCCCCTCCCCCCGACGACCGGTTCCCGGTGTCGTCGCTGTCCTTCCCGATCGAGGACGACAACGACGACGACGAGCTGCTCCGCGCCGGCCTCGCCGCCGCCGCGCCGCCCCCCTCGCCGCCGGAGGAGTCGAGTTCCGGCGGATCGAAGGCCGAGGGCGGCCGGACGGCGCCGATCGAGAACCCGGGGGGCTCGACCTCGACCCCGCGGCCGCTGTGCAGCGCGACCGACATAGCCGCCGCCATTCGCGCGCGAGCGCTCCTGCCTGCCTCCCTCCCGAAGCTCCGCGGCGGACGGAAATGGCGATCGGACTGATCGAATCGGATCGGATCGTGTCGTCGCTGTTCTTCGCTGCGCGCGAGTGAGACGAGAAACGACAGGAACGAACAGAGACGAGAGGTTGAAGAAGACGAGCGAGGGTTAGGTTTTATATTCCGGCTAAATTTCCGGTCGATTTTTTAAAATTTTTTTTTTTCCCTTGAAGGAAAGAGGAGGGAGGTGGGGACCACCGGACAAAGGGAGGAAGAGGATAAAGATTAGGAGGAATTGTTCTTATCCTTATCCGTTGTCAGAATATTACAACATCATTTTCGGGTAATAATAATAATAATTGTTGTTGTTATTATTGCGAGCTGTCTTTTTATTTATTTGTTTAATGGTTTTACTTGATAATTATCAGAACGGGTCAGAGATAATTTGCTTCGGCTTTCGATAAATATTCAGACAGAGCTTTATCCAGCTCTGTTAGAGCCGTTACCCAGGGAAGGGAAATGGATTATTATCCATTTCCCCGTGATTAACGGATATTCATTTCTTTATTATCCCTTCGACGGTTAATTTATAAACGATCGGATTTTACCGAAAAATGAAAATTGAAAAAAAAATCATCGCACATTTTTTTAAAATGAGAAATACATGATGGGTAGGAAGAATTTGGTATCAAATAAACGAGAATTCAAAAATAAAAATACTCGAGGAACAATTTGAAGGCATTTTTTCTTCGGGTCAAAGACTTTAGAGGTATCTTGAATTGACAAAATTCCGCCCTATCAATTTGATTTCGTGTCGAAATATATATAATTATCATTTTTTTTTAGCCGTCAGCTTATCCGATTAACTGCTATATCACAGTTTATTGACACCACTGGTCCTCGGCGGCGAGGTCAATTCTTTATCATAGAAGATCGCTCGTAGGGATGCATCGATTAACAAATGTTAGTCAAGGACGTTTCATTAGTTAGTATTTTTTTTCTTTTAATCATTAGTTGAATTATTAAATGCATATTCTCGATTTTTCTAGAGCGGGGGAGACCCACGCGGGGCCGCCGTGGACCGCGACGCACCCGATCCCGGCGACGGCCGAAGCGAAGCTGGCGGGGGGGGGGGGGGGGGGAGAGGGGTAGAAAGGTACATTCCGCAGCTGCCCGAAGGAGGGGGGCGGGGGTTGGGGGCAGCTGCCCGTGCCCGGGGGAGGGTGGGGGGAGGGGGGGACGCTGACCGCGTCGAGACACGCGACGGCGGGGGGTTTGACTTGCTGAGGAGATGTGGTCGGTCGGAGGGTCGGGCCCGATGACGTGGCGCCGATGGCTCCGCTTCGAGGCCTTATCCACAACGACAGGGGGTGTGGGGGGCGGGGCCCACGCGCACACAAGAAGCAGCACACGCGGCGCACCCACATTTTTTAGGGGTTTACGTCTTTCCGCAATACACGCGCTCGTTGTTTCCGTGGAAATCTGCTGGCTCCCATGACGCTTCTCTCCTCTCTTTCCCTTTCTCTTTCTCTTTCTCTTTCTCTTTCATATCCCTTCTGAGGAAACACCTCTGTATAATTATATATATATATATATATATATTATATGTAAGTATATGAGTGGGTTTGTCCACGTTTCAAGAGTTCCATTTATTATCTGAAAATTACGGGGGCACAGCGAGAGGATAATGCTTTTAAAACACAATCATGGCTGTTGAATGCTCTGGATATGTTAAAATAATCCAATGTACCGTCTTTTGGAGGTATTGGATATGTGCATTGATTGCCGGCTGCATCGGGCGCGTCGCCTCCCGTTTCTCCGCCAGGTCCATAGTTTTTCGGTTGTTGCTGGAGAGTCTTTCGCTATCCGTTTTGTTAAAATCACCACCGCCATGCTTGCCCGTCCCCCCCCCCCGGGCGAGCCGGATCCTGCAATTTCGTCGCGGACGGCCGATGGATGCGGCTTCACGCGCCGCCGGGTCTTAGATCTAACTGATTCAGCCGCGCGTGCCATTCCAACACGTCCCCGGTGGTTGTTTCGGAAACAAACTCCCACCACTAAAACTCGTTGCTATTAACCGAGTCGGACACTAAAATTTCGCCGCTAACCACCACCGAACGCACCCTCAAGCGCTGTCAAAAGCCACCGACGTCACATGCGAATCCATCCGACACAACTGCTACCGTAGAGGCTTTTTCCAATAGACTATTTGTCGCTCTCTTCGTAGAGGATCTTCGTTCCATTCACTGAGAATCTGATATCTCTAGCTCCTCTAACCCTTCTGCTATGTCTGTCACTTCAAGTAATTTTTATTTTTGGATATCTTACTCCACTTGTAGCAATCATATGACTTCAAATTCTAATTTATTTAAGTCAAAACCATACTGTTCACACAAATGATAATTTCCAAATGAGAGTTAGCCATTCATGAAATATTTCTACATCCATATTATCCTTACCTAACAAATTTATGGTTTCCAAACTTTCCCGAAAGTTGATTTCAGTAGGACAACCGTGTTAACTTAGTTTTGATGTTCACTTCTCTCCTCATGGTTGTCATGTGGAGGATTCACAGACAAGACAGATCACTGGGACGGGCCGTAGAGTGCGACATCTATTTGAGCTCGTTTTCTTAAATATTCCCAATTCTTTTGCTGGTTCTACTACCATAAAATCATCTGAAATTTGGCATTATCAATTAGGTCATGCTTCCTTCTCTAGATTTAGGTCTTTGATTTCAAGTGGCCATTTAGGTTGTGTTGATAACAAACGTTTTAATTTCCCGCCTTGTTAGTTGGGAAAAATCATGGCTACCATTTGATGTTAGTGAATTTGTCTCTCATACTCCATTTGATCTAATTCACTCTAATATTTGAGGACCCTCTCCAACGCCAACCATGGGAGGCTCGTGCTATTTTGTAATATATATGGATGATCATTCTCGTTATGCCTAACTTTATTTTATAAAAAATCGATATGAACTTACTCGTTTCTATCGTGATTTTGTTGGCACGATAAAAACACAATTTCTAAAGATATCAAGGTCTATCGTACTGAAAATGCCCTGGAATATAGTGACACTGAGTTTCTTGAATTTCTCTTCCAAAATGGTATTATTATTTATCGTTTTTGTCCAGGAACTTCCCAGCAAAATGGTCAACCAAAATGTAAAAATAGGCATATTTTGGATATTACAACACTCTTCTAGTGTCTGCCTCTTGTCCAGAACAGTTTTGGAGAGAGGCTTGTCTTATTACTGCACACATTATAAATTGTACTCCGTCACCTATCTTAGGTAACATTTCTCCTTATGAGCGCTTGTATGATAATGTCCCCAATTACAGTCTTTTTCATGTCTTTGGTGGGGGGTTTTTTGTACATCTTCCTCATGAATCCGTTCATTTTGCTTCCTTGGATATAGCATTGAGCACAAATGGTATAAATGTTGAGATCTCATCTCCAACCGTCTTTGTGTGTCCTGGTACATGATGACGCTCCAAATTACTTGGTCTGTTGTAGTCCTTAGAATTCTTCTCTATGACAATGGTACATTATATCACGGTCTTCAGTTTTCAGTTCGTTCTACATTTGGAGTTGATAGCTTATTATAATGCTAACTAACCTAGTAAACCTCAAGGTCGTTGCTCCAGTATGGGCTACTGTTTCTTTTTGGGCAACTCGCTCATCTCATGACGTAGCTAGAAATAGACTGCTATAGCTCGTTCCAGTATAGGAGTAGAATATCAAGCTTTTACTGATACGACATCGGAGCTATTATGGCCTCGACCCTCGATGGCTATTAGAAAACATGAGAAATAAAAATAGTGTAATAGTCACTCGTTACAACAATCAAAGTGCTATCCAAATAACACATAACGATGTTTTTCATGAACGCACTAAGCATATTGAAATAGACCGTCGTTTTATTTTGGCATTGTTCGACTCGTCTCCACTTCATCCGTTGAACAAACTGCTGATGTCTTCACCAAGGCATTTCCACCTTGGCGTTTTCTCCATACTCAAGTTGACTTCTTTCAAATTCAAGTCATCTTAAATCAGTGAAAGGAGTACTGTTTAGTTTTACTATTTTTGAGATTAACTTAATTGTAATTAAGTTTGATTGCCTTCTCACCCTATATATGTGGGCTTTGTACTCTCCGTTTAGTAATATACAGAATATTACATTTCTCTCGTTTATCTCGAACCTCAACTTGAAATTTAATTTAGAATTTGATATTTTCTTTAAAAATGTCCACAGCACCTCTATAAATCCACAAATATTTCATCATTGCCTTTACGACGATTAAGATATAGCGGGCAGTGGAAAATGTGAATATCTTATCGTTGGAATAAGTTGACTTTGGAGTCCGACACAAGTGCCGGACACCAAGCCTAGTGCATATAGACTAGACTTTGTGTACTTTTGAAATACTTCAGGTGTTGAACATTAGGTCAACTTTAAGTGCTACACAAAGTTAAGAAAAAACGAAAGTCACATCAATGAATCTCGAATGCTCAACATTTTCGAAAGATTTGTTCTTTAATTAACAACTGAAGTTTTAATGCCAGTTTGGTATAACTGTAGCCTAACCGTAAGCTGTTGGTTTGTCGTACAGTGCTAAAATTTTTATGCTCGACAATACATATCTTCAAAAACCCGGGTGAGGTAGCTTTCTAGAAGTCGTTATATGTTATTATCGAAGATTTGAAGCAATTGTAGTTGAGACCCGCGTGGCGTTTGCCGAACGCCTTATGAAAACTACAGCACCCCTTTTCGACAATAGACCGAATCAAGGAAGATATAGCACTATGATGAAGTGGAACGAGAGGGGCCGTTACCATTCCGTCTTTTCACCTTTTATAATTTTGGTTATCAGCCCATCTTCTTTTTCTTAGTTGTAAAACAAGGCGAGGCCCAAGACGTTTGAAGCGTTTTACACAATCGGCAAAGAAGCCCTGTTAACACATCTTGAATTCGAACAAAGATGTGAGCTTGAGATTGTCCAAGAAGGGCTCTTTCCGCAAGCCCATATGCAACCATGCATGCGTCTAGGATTTTTTTGTTTTGGGTGACGACAATTTATATGAAAATATAATGACTCAAATGATATATAAATCTAAACTTTTGATAAATCTCAACCGCGAGAGGAACTTCGTTTCCACAAAACACAATCATTGAGGCTAGTTGGGACAATGTTCCTAATTTTACACCGTGTCCGATCCAAAAACCACGTGCTGTCGTCGACTCTTGCGAGGAGTTTGCGGTGGGTGTCTAGTGATCGCGCCACGCCTCAGCGAATGCTCGCGGGTCGGACCTAATGAGCTGCACGGCGGATCTACACTGACTAGGGTCGATCTCGCTCGACCCGTTACGAGCCAACGTGACGGGCACAAGCAGCTATTGAATCAAAAGTTGTACCCAACGTTGAGAGCCTAACTTGGGAGCTTGCATGGATCTCATAAAAGATGAATCACGCAGATGAACTACTCGATCAATGCTTGCAAGGTTGAGGACTACATGTGAGTTTGGTCGGGCGGAGTGATGGACAATGAGGATGCTCGCGACACGGTGGGCGCGGATAAGACGAGCAGCGCCGTTGCGCCGCTGGTGGGGCAAAATGCCGACGTTTTTCCTTGGTGTATTATAGCACTGTCCCTTGCGAATGCCCTCAGAGGAGGATCATGAGGATTTTAACGTGAGATGATTGGTAAAACAACAAAGAGAAAATATAATCACCACCGAAACCGCCTCAATTCAAAGGCGCAACCAATTAGCTAGTCAAAGTTACATAAGAATGAAATCTACATCGATAATTGGCCACGATCGACCTTTTTGCATGCGGGGCCGTATCAATGAATGCATGGTGCATGAACAAATTAACCAACGTATCTTTGGTATATGTCTTTAGTTATGCATGGGGTGAGGCGAGCTTAGCGAGAGGGCCTACGGCGAGGGAATTGACGTAGGTGCAAGGCTCAGTCATGGACGACATCCAGCGTTTGTCCTCAAAGAGGTCGTTGCGGTCAGGCCCGCCCATGATGGCGCCGGTGAGCTCGTTGACGTTGGGGATGTCCGGGGAAAGCCATTTCACGAAGCTCATGGGGCAGCTCACCACCTCGTCGAGGGCTAGTTTGGGCACGGACGAGCCTCGGTGATGGGGTTGGGTCGGAGGTTTGTTGCCGAAGCCAACCATGTATGATCTGCCTTCCGGGTTATTCCCAAGTAGGTAATCCATCTGCGGGCAATACAATGTGGAAGTAAGCAGAAACACCAATTTTATGGCAGTTTCATAGAGATGGTTCGTATTTGATTTTAGGTTTGTTCAGGGTATTGACATAGCCTGGGTGGGTTTGATTTATGTAGGCATTTGGATGAACTAATGATCCGTCAAAGCTGAATCTCTAGCTCAACACTTGGTCTAAATCCTTGGTTTTAACTTGCAAATATTGCCAAGATTTTTGTTCCGGGCATAGCTGAATTGGCAAGTACCTGTTGCTTGGCAAAAGCCTGGAGGTGCGTGGCATCGAACTGTTTGTCTCCGCAGATGACTTTCTGGTTGTGTTTGGCCAACGTGTCGGCATAGACATCGAACAAGAAAGATGTGCCAGTTACATGCTGCGTGTTCGCCCCACTCCTCAAATACAGCATGCCCCCTGAAATCGAAGCCCAAAAACTGGTTACTACGTTGCCATATTGCACTTTGAGGCGAAGTTCTAATGGAGACTCCCTGAAAGGAGTCGGTGTAATCAATCACATTTAAAGAAAACAGCAGAACTGATCTCGTGCGCGAGAGAGAGAGAGAGAGAGAGAGAGAGAGAGAGAGAGAGAGAGAGAGAGAGAGAGTTGCACCTGGGGTGATGTAAACCTGGTGGTAGGGGCTATCAGGAAGAATTGAGCAGACAAAGCTGTCAGCTTGTGTTTTGAAGTTCTCTAAGCCCTGGTCTCCTTTAAAGTATAGCTGCATTTACACTGGCCAACGCTCAATAAAGAAAATGGGCTAGACTTTTCTCTGTTCCACAAAAGAAAAAGCTCTTGAATTGGCTCATAGGATGATAATACCTCTGAGAGAAGAACCTGGGCACCCGCATATTTGAGGTCCCAGCTAAATTCAGTGACACTAGCACTGATGGACTCTTCTTTGATGTAGTTAAGGTACACACTTCTCCTCGTGGCCATGTACAGCCAAGATGCTGCCCACAGAAGCTCATCCTGCAATTTTCAGCTCCGTGTTAATCATCAATTCAGTCGCTTTTTATGTCATTTTAAGGCCCGAGCAAGAGAGAGGAAATTTCTCGATCGTACTCATGCCATGGATAGAACTGGTCCCTAACCATATGATGACAGGGACCTATGTGATTAATTGAGGGTTCTGTTCTAGAACACACGCCGTTCGAGGTTGAGTGCGTTGGGCTAAATTGAGGGTCAATGATATTGTTGAGATTGCAGTGGATTGAGATTAACAAACAAGCTATTGGAACAGATAAAGCGAGTGGGCAAGCTTACATTGTAGCCAGAGAACGAGCAGTAGAAGGGGCATTCTCCATCGAAACTTCCTTTGTGAGACTTCGCGAATTGAAATAGCTGCAGATCCATAAGCCATAAATCTTGTATCATATTTCAAAATGCGAACCTTTGGACATTCCCTCCCTGCTAGAGGTTTGCACCTAGCACAGCGTGGGAAGATCATAACAGAAAATGTACATTGATGTACCAGTTTGGCTTTATTGAGGAGGCGGCGAGCGTATGCACGGTCGAAGCCTCTAAAGACCATGGAAGAAGCAGCCATCGCAGCTGCAGTTTCGGCAGCGATTTCTGTTCCAGGAGCACTCTCATCGATCTTCAGGACTGTCCTAGGAGTCTGCATATTTTCTGGTCTAATCCAACACTGGTGATCTGGTACTGGGTCTCCGACCTTCATTCATTAAACACAGGCATCATTGCTTATTTACCAAGAAAATCTCAATCAATCACTGCTTGTAAACTTGACAAGAATGGCAACTTTAATATTCAGAACAAGCGGACATCTTTCTCGAGTCCAACAGACTATGTATTATTTCAGAGAAAGAAACAAGTCGGACATATTGCAGATGTATAAACCCGCCATGTTCTTTTATGAATATAAACTTTTCCAGGGGCAGGCTTTTGCATGGGAGAAGCGAAAAAAAGGGTTCTGGCGCGTACTCAAATTTAGCACGAACGAACCTGCACATACAAACGATTTTTCCTAGAACTGGCCTTGAGAAAATAATCGGTGCCCCATTTGATAGCGGAGCGGACATTCTCCAGTTCCCCGGCTGCTTGAAGCTCTTTCTGATAAAATAGACCAGCCCAAGACAAGGTGGTGACTGTAAATGCCATGGGCAGTCCAAACTTTATGTTGTCGCCGGCATCGTAATACCCTCCAACAAGGTCCACCTATAAAAAGAACAAAATTTGAGGGACTAGAATCAGATGAACTTCAAATTTGGATGTCCATTCTCAATTAACAGGCTCGGAGAGGCAACAGAACATTGGTTACGGAAACCAATCATAGCTCAAAGAATGTTCAAATGAATATCGAAATGCCTAATGATTGCCGAAAAAGGAAAAGGTTAGAGACCCACATTTGCTTCTTTTCCATCATCAAGTGCAGAATCTCCTCTCCAAGAAAGCCTGTGATTCGGAGGGAGCTTTCCAGATCTCTGAGCCTCCAGGAATATGAGGGACTTGGTGAGAGCGTCTTTGTAATCGAAATTCGCATCAACGGCGACGAGAGTGACTTCGAAGAGGACGAACCATGCCACCGAAACGGCAGCCAATGTTCTTACGGGTATCCCCATGAACAAGAAACCTATTCAGAGAAAACTATGAACGAAAGTGTATTGCGAGAATATCCTTGAGGATGACTTTTTGTTGTTGTTGTCGTTGCTGAGCAATGCAGAGGAAGAGAGAGGCAGTTTTCGGAACAGCCTTGTTGTTTAAGGATTGGAAGTTTGGTTTCTGGTGGAGGGAACACAAAGAAAGGAGTCAGTTATTTTCTGTTTGCATTGAAGAATATGGAGTGCTTGAATGGATGGGTAATAAGAAGAGGCCTCTTCTTTTCACAGGTAAACGTGGGGTCACAAGAGTTGCTGACTCAATTTGACTGACCGTAATTAGGTGCCCTCAAAATTTTTTGTTTCCTTACGGTTGGTGCATATTCAGAGGTTCTAAACCTGCTCCAATCTCCACAGATTTGGAGGAAAGAGAGAGGAAACAAAGAAACCCCTCAAACGTATACTTCCTGAGAGTTTTTTCTGAGAGTCTATACATTCTTATTTGGGCATCATGATTCAAATTGCTGCGTGATGGACATAATCTCAAAATGAAAAAAATTCTCAGTGGAGAATTACTAATTCCCCTGGATATTAATTTTCTTTTGACAATTTGGCACCAGTGTTTTTTCTATCCTTCAGGTTTTTTTCCATTTGATCTTCTTAAAGACACATTGAATCTGTGTGGCCGCTCTCGATCACAGTTCGCACCAGAAGATCGCCCCGTAGGACGTACTAGCACTAATAATCAAACACATTTGGCGATCGACACAACTTGTTCATTGATCCTTGCCTGGCATATAGTACTCAAAGGAAAAGCTTCTAAATGGTCTTGTTAGTCGAAAGCTTATATTCCATACCGTCCTCTGTCAACCCAGAGAACCGGCGGTGCCCGATTTGAATTGGAAATAGACTGTGAAAAATTAGCAGTTAGAGTGGTAAGTTGCCGGGATTTCTGAAGTAATGTAATGCATTTCGTCTATTAAAGAAGGTAACCGGAAGAAACTTGCATGATACACGCGACCGTCTTTGCTCAGGCACTACCATCCAAGCATCATTTTCAGCAGACTGGCAGTGAAAAGGCAAGAGCCAAAAGAAATTGAACTTTATATTCATTTTACACCCTGCATCCGACTGTCTTACCCCCACCCTTCTCCCCCACGCGCCACAAAAATCTAACGGGGAGATCGTATCCCCGAATAACCATCCTAATCTAAGATCCATAATACATGGGATGAATGAGGTAGAATCGTCTTTCCCAAGTTATGGGACATTACTCCATCGATTCCTATCACCGTTACAGAAAGGAAAAGAAAGGGCAGCATAGAACCCGGATATCTAATAGAGGTCCCCAGTCCTGGTGCCCTGGCCCCAATTTAGTGGGGAAAACGAAACGGCTGAATTTCTGAACCAGCTCAGCATCTCATTATGATGCCAGCGACATTTTTACCAATCTCTTCTTTTGCTAATTCAGACACTGGGACATCTCCTATGTACATATCGAAGAAAGCCCCTGCAAGTGTACACATGGTTTGTAGACTTATTTATACTATTTAACAACAGGTGCTACTTCACACCCTCAATTATAGAGCATGACAACTAAGTCACTTCAAATATTTAGATCAAAGAGAGTTCCACTTACTGCACAAATCCCTACTCTGGACAGTTCCAACCTTGTTGCCTCCAACTGCAAATACAACACTAATTAAAACTTCGGACTTGCAAAAACTAAATTTAAGCAACGGAAGAAACTTGTTCAATGAAACCACCACACCCATTAGGATGAACTATAGGGAAAACAACATTACAATGCACAATTAATAGAGAGTGAAAAATTTCAAAAAATTTTGCTTGACAAATATTGCAGCTATTGCCATGGGCAACGGAGTTTATTCACTTCAAGTTTAGCACTTCAACATTGTTATCAAGTACAACCCCTACTTAGAGCAAAAAATGCAGGTACTGACATCGAACTTTTTACATTCTTAGTCTTCAATGAATGATCACTTACTTTCAGTTATTAGATTTCCATCAGCTGTTCGGTGAAAGTCAATAGTTGTTCCCTGCAAAATCCCGCAACTTGATGATACCTCTTTGACATATAGATACTGTACCGTGTGTGTATGAAGATGTTCATTTTGTGAGTGCAAGTGATGCATGTGTGCTCCCGTGTGCGTGCGTGCGTGCATGAGAGAGAGAGAGAGAGAGAGAGAGAGAGAGAGAGAGAGAGAGAGAGAGAGATATTTACCATAGGCAATGGGACATCGTGAGTGAAGATTGATCCAAATTTACTTAGACAATGATAGTCAGTGTTTGGATTTGTCTAAGCAAAATGAGATAAAAGAGAAGTGTTAGCAATTGTAATATGTGAATGGAATGGAGGGCGAATCATTCTATCGCTGGTACCTTTAACAAGCGGGCTCGAAGAGACTTCTCAAAGGCACTGTAGAAATTTAAGATAAGAATAAATCAATCAATATGGATTTATTTTCAGATAGGAGTTTTGACAAGTAGTGCCTAAATAAATAGCGCCTGATGATAACCATGTCAAAATGAACCGTTTAACATTAAAAATCGCAATATTACTCTAAGGTTCTAATGACATAAAACAATCCAAACTAGTTCATGAAGATTACTATCCACCGTCCCAGGTCCACTATCTCATTTGCAGGCGAAAGGATGATGCTGCTAAGTTCACATATAACCATGCAGATCCTCGCTAATTTATTAGTCCAGAAAAGTCGGACCATAACACAAAAACGTCATATAATCTCGGAAAGAGTGATTAAGGTGCAAGTGAAAGTATATTTTGACAAGAACAGTTCACATGGTCATTGACATATATGTTCCAAATAATGTAACTTACTCTCTCACAGTGTTGATTTTCATTCCATTGCAATTAACCACGAGTCTCACTGTCATATTAATGTCTTCCCTGCATCAGCTCATGAGGAAAAAAATTTAGAAAACAATCAAACTATTCACATATATGATTCTATGTAGTCCAATTCACACATATGCTCTCACAGTTCATGCAGTTGGCATCTTAAACTAGACATCTAATTACATGGCCATTCATATTCTACCTGAGAAGATCCTGATAAAAAGTCTGGCATTTATTGACCTCACTGATTGGCATAGAAGCATATTTTGGACCCAGCTTCTTGCAGACAGAGTAAGGATGTATATCTGGGGGAAGTAAAGTATGCAGAGTAGCATATCAATGAAAAACAACATATACACATATAAACACAAACGTAAGTATGAAGTGAAAACTGCAAATACTTACAAAAACCAAATGCATACAGCTTCAAAGACTTAATCTTGATTATTTTCATAGATCTGGACCCAGTTCCTACAAGAATCTGAAACGCAAGCAGACCGTAAACTGAATAAATAAGCATATCGAAGCACTCTTCAGAAGGAAGAAAACTGCAGAAACTTGGTCAGTATAAAATAAGTTTGACATCAAGAATATATTGCAATAATAAGACAATGAACTCCAAGAGGACTGTCATTTGACAAGAATGAGAACTTTTCATAAGGAGAAGAAGGTATTTAAGACTCTAGAAACAGCTTGAACGGCCTAAAGACAAAATGCCTCCAGCTTGTAGGGTAAGAACATGAATCTAGGTGGCATATGGTTCTGAAATCGGATCTAAAGTAGAAGGTAAACCCCACATGTATTGGATGCATATTTTTCGGCGTTAATAAGCATTTTGATTGAAATCTTCGGCAGAGACATGTCAAAAAAGTAATCATCAGAGCAGAGACAAGGATCAGAGGAAAACTGAAGGCTTCTCACTCCACTAAAAAACCATTTGTCCTGTGAAAGCATTTTGATCCCAATCTGGGCATTCAGATGATAACCCAAAGCCCACAGCCCCTCCTTCCCCCATCCTTCCAATCTCTATCATTTTCTCCAATGCTACTTTGTGTTGTATCAAGGAGCAATAGTTTGCGAGCATTATATGCACTATTGCCAACGAAAGCAAGGTAGATCAAGCCCCAAGCAGCTCCTGGGTATAGCCATCCATTGCTGAAAAAATTATCCTGCTGCTTGGTCCGGAATCTTTATGGTTATATCCATAGGACGAGCTCCTAATGGAACAATTACCTATTCTATCTGCTTCGCGGCCAATACTCACATTCATTGAATTGCTATCAGTTCTATCTATTCGATCATGGCCTCACTCTAACAAGTAAGCAAGTAAACTACCTTACGACCGTTCTTTAATCCATTATTTAATTTTCCACCTAATAACAGCCTGAATCTGTTACTTTAGCAACTGCTATAGTCATAGACCATCTTTAATCCCATTGATTGTATACTCCTCCAATCACTAATACACTCAAAGAATCATTCTCCATCTCTAACAACTAACGATCAATGAATAATTGCATCCAATGCTCTCTAGCAATCAGGGGAAAACAGATTTTCACAATTGAGGAACCTCCAAGTCACATCATCCAAAACCGAGTTTCATTTGCCAGCTAGAATCAGGAAGATAGAGCAATTTAATCTCTTTCACACAATTAAAAAGTCCCTTGAGTTAGGATGCCAATCGGAATGCTTAGTTGAGACCCACAGCCTGTGATTTGCTACGAATACAAAATGCCAGCTGCCAGCGAAAAAGCTTAGTACTGACCTTTGATGTCAAATTGCAATTTCTCTCTCCAGCCAGTATACTATCCAGAATCATAGGGAACTCGATGCCGGTTCGAGGTTCCACTGCATGTTCTTTCCAGGATAAGTCTGGAACAGAGAGCCCGGAACATCCTCGATTCTCAACCTCACAGGGTCTTTGATCTAGGCACATGTGACTTCTCACATCAGCACTCCCCGGCAAGACATCAAATACCTTGGAAGATCTGTAAAAGGCCAATGGAATTGGCAGCCATCTTTTAGGAAGAGAGAGTATTGCAAATGCAACTCTGTCTACAAGTAAAGTGCATAAATGACTTACAAGTTGCCAAATGGTGGTACAAGTACTGCAGCTATTGAGAGAATAGGAAGCGATCGGAGCTTGTCCGTCTCTTTGGAAAGGCGTTTCAGGATGAAACTAGCAATTTTGTTAAAGAGCTCAGGGCTAACAAATTCTTTATTCGATGCACTAGACGAAATTTGTCTAACTAGAGTAGCAAATTTACAACTTCCACTTTCTGAACCAGGTAAATTCCCCACAATCCTCTGACCCAAATTTGAAGCAGTTCCACTCGCGAACCAATAGACAATAGCATTGGAGACCCTGGAGATGCTATGAAAAGTTTCCTGAAGAGCGACACTTCTGGGGACATGCAAACTTCTTGTCTGATGCAGCGAGTTATCAACAAGAGAACTAATTCGAGAACATATATGACCTCCTAAACTATGCAATAAAAAGGGCTCAGTCGGTAAGATATATGGCGATCCCCCGTTTAAATCTTTGAAAGATAACCGATTTTTCCTCATACTCTGATCTATTTCACTAAACTCTGCACTCGGATGCCTCAAACTTTTATCTGTTCACCTGCATGAACAGAATCGGATCAAAAAAATATAAGTATTTTCTCGCGCATAATTCTATTGAGTCTGATAGAGGAGCAAATTGTCCAAGAGGCACAGCTAACTTGTCAAACTTGCAAAGTTCTAGGGGCCATGCTATGATCACGGCACTAAAGCACATTACGCAAAAGAGGAGATCGCATGGATCCAATAACAATTGTAGCTCAGCAACAGGAAAATGATCCAAGAAACCTCTGGAAGTAAGCTCTTTTAAGCAATTCTTGATGGCATTCACAACAAGGCGCCCTAAATCACAACAGCGGATCACAACCCAGCTCTATCACAGCAATCCCAATCGAACCCAGATGAAGATCCAATGCGAGCGGACCACAACGCAAAGAAACAGAGCAAAAAGGCAGCACCTTCTTCGTTTCCCCTTCCAAGAATCAAGAAACCCAAGAAAAAGAACACCCTTTATTCGCAAAAGAGAAAAAGGAAAAACAAGAAAGGCGATCTGTGCTGTTTCACGAATCTCTCGAGTGGCATTCACATGACATCGATTCACCAGGAAAATGGGAAATGGTAAAGCGATAGGAAATGGGAAAGAGCAGGGAGAGCAGAGTGAATCAAAGACCTGAACCGCCCGGACGACCGCGTGGGTAGGCGAGAGAAAGAGAAGCGTGTTCGGGTTGTGGCTGCATGAGATGGACGGGGCTCGCTCGTTCCGTGCCTTGAGCGAATACCCAGCACGGAGAGATGGAGAAGAGAGAGAAAGGAATATGCTTTGCATACGGAACGGGAGCAAGTCAAAGAAAGGGGATTCCAAGCTTTTTCTTGATGGAGAAAGGAGAAAGGCCGGAACTTTGGAGGAGAAAACGACTTTTCCTTGATTAATTTAAAAATGGGTTTTCCTCTCGACCGGGGTTGTTCTTGATGTCCGAGTCTCGCCACTTTTCGCAGCTTTGCGAGATCGTTGACGGCGGAAGACGACGAGACAAAAGCCTCTGGCATGCTGTCTCTGTTGTTGTATGCTCTCTCTCTCTCTCTCTCTCTCTCTCCCCAGCGACTTTCTCTCTCTGCTTCCAAGCCCGTCGATGCGATGCCACGTGGCGAACCGGTGGTCGGGTCATTTAATTTCTTTTGGTCGGTCCTAAAGAAATTCCGTAGCTGACTTGACATCCAATTTTGCAGATGTCGGTCGAGCCTAAACATTAGGAATAAAATGACGCGAGAGTCATTTGAATTTTAGCTCAACGTGTAATATCGTTTCACGAATTTTTTGATTCATGAATTTTAGTTCAATATACAATATCGTATCTTCTAAACTTTTAATACATTCGTTGTAGTCCATGAACTTTTAGTACAAATTTAATTTTGTCCTTAGACTATATAAAAATATTTATTGTTACAATTTCATTAATTCAAGTTCGGGAACACTATTGAATAACTTCATATAATTTAGGGACTAAATTGACATGTATCAAAAGTTTATGGATCAAGTTGAACAGATTAAAAATTCGAGAACGATGTTGCGAGTTGAGTTAAAGTTCATGGATTACATTGAATAAATTAAAAGTTCGTGGATAACATTATATATTGGGCAAAAGTTTAAGAACCATTTGTATCATTTGATATTTTTCCCTATGCAGAATACTACGTATTGACTACATATAAAATGTAATTGGGGAGAGTCTTGATATATCAAATAATCGCACAAAATGCCAATGGAAAGGATTTATTATAATCTGACAGCCAGTATCTTCTTAAATTGCATATAGCAACCATCACAAGTAGGAGTATTAAAAAAGCCCGCACCAACCGACTAGGAAGCACAGACACTCTCCAGGGGGTTCCGTGTCGTGTCGGACACCGACACTCGTCTGACACTTTTTTTTTTTATGGATTTGAATCAAATTAATTTGATTGAAATAATCATAAAAATAATCATTTATTATGTATATATAAAAGGGTTAATACCACGAAAAACCCTAAACTGGTACAGTTGTGACAATTTTACCCTAAACTATTTTTTTGACCACAAAAAATTCCAAACTGGTACACTCGTGACAAATTTACTCCGAACTATTTTTTTTACCACCAAAACCCCCGAACTGGTATACTTGTGACAATTTTACCTCAACTAATTTTTTAATATTATTTTTTATTTTTTCGAATTTTTTTATTTTCTTTTTATTTTCTTTTCTTGTTTTCCTTAATATTCTTCATCTTCAACCTTTGGCTAGTCGCCGGACCGGCGACCGGCCAGAGGGGGAAGCCGGCGAGGTCGGCCCCACCGGCCGCTGGCGAGGCTCGAACTCGCCGGCTTCCGCCTCTGGCCGGTCGCCGGTCCGGCGACCAGCCAGAAATTGAAGATGAAGAAGATTAAGGAAAAAAAGAAAAGAAAAGAAAAAATAAAAAATAATATTAAAAAATTAGTTTGGGTAAAATTGTCACAAGTGTACCAGTTTAGAGTTTTTTGTGGTAAAAAAAATAGTTTGGGATAAAATTGTCACAACTGTACCAGTTTAGGGTTTTTCGTAGTATTAACCATATATAAAAATATACATTAAATATATAACGTGTCCCAACGTGTCGGATTTCTCTATTTTTTTAGAAATGATGTGTCGGCTTGTCGTGTCGTGTTTGCGTGTCGCATGTCGGTGCTACTTAGCCAACCGGGTCTAGCCCAACCCTACCTTAAAATTTATGGTATTTCGGGATCAGGCCTCAGTCTTCTTGAGGTAGAGTTTTTAGGTGTGGGTATTGTGAGGGTAGGGTCGGGTCGGGCGGCCGACGCGGGCTTTTTTGACACCACTAGGGCCAGAGCGAGCAGCAAAGAGAATTCATCCCAAATATTTCAACAGCCGATCTCCCTCTCTCTCCTCTCCCCTTCTCTCTCCTCTCTCTCTGCACAAGCTAGATTTAAGCCAGCTAATCGGCGACGGACCCAATCGCCCCTCCGCTCGCCGTGGATCACCCTCGTTCTCAAACCCTAGATCAAACCCATTTCACAAGTCAATCATGAAGCTTCTTTTGCTGCAGATGCGGTTCGTGTGTCATTGTTTGTGGCTTGATTTTTGTTCCGATGCCTTCAACAGCCAAGTCCTCTCCTACTGGCGCTTCTTCAACGCCGACCCATCTCTAAGGGTATATGTTGATCAGGATCTCGGAGTGGATCGGGTCGAGCGCGACCTTGTAGGTTTTGGGTCGGGTATCATGAAAGCCCAACCCAACCCATTGACACCCTGATGATTTAGAAACCTTTAATCTCACCATGGAACTCCCTCCGGACAACTGAAGCTACTACGAAATGCACAGCATGAACGTATTCACGACCGACATCTTCTAATGCAGAATCACGTGTACAGCTCGAAGTCGCAAAGAGCGTCGCATAAATGCCAATCCTTCGTTGTATATCGCTTTATTCAGTAATCATCTGCGGAAATTAGTCCGGACGAATGTTCAGATCCCTCGTATCATCTGAAATGACGAAAATCTATAATGACCCCCATCGGCACACATGTTAACGAGATGATATTGTAAGTGTTCGAGTTTGGTAAGTTTGCATCGGATTTAACATTACTCATGGCGAAGAAAATGGCAATGTACCTGGACGACATATGCATTCGAAGCTTCCCATGCACAATGTTCACAATGTGGAAACTATTCATCCATATAATAATTGGGCGGTGTTCTTTTGACGTGAATTATTTATTTATGTTTATGTTTTTTGGTCAGGTCTTGACATCAATTCAATCGGACATAGTTTGGAATTATATGCACTTAGGGAGTGGCAAAAATTTCTACATCACATGCTGACAAACGTGCACGATTCGATGAGTACATTTCAGATTTTTCTGGTCCTCATGTGGGGACGAGATGTTGGACCATGAGGGCTTTGTCCCCTTTCATTTATTGCTCGCTTCGCACGGCTTCGATAATTCTTAGTAGGAGATTTGAGATGATAATATGCGACCTCTTCACTCGAGGCATTGTTAGATTTGGCCCATTCCATACCAAGCCTCACGATTATATCCTTTGACGTATAGATGGACACTTTTGCAGGAGATTATCTATTTGGATAGTGCTCCCACCTAAGCATATTTGTTTTGTTAAAAGGTGCCTCCGTCTCTAATATTCAGTGCAAAATTTGTTTCATTCTCACCTCCTTTGCCATCCTAGAAGCCTGCTAGGAGCCGCTCCTTATCCGAACCTTGGCCTAGGCGATCACTCCCTGCCCTTATCGAACCGGATCGTTACATAATGAATGGTTATATCAATTGCTTGACACCCAAATCTTGATTGGACTTTTAGGTTTCAAGTTACGAGATAGATAGACATTAGGCGGTCTCGACCAAAAGGGCTTGGCGACCCTATGCTCCATCGGCCAGTAAGGCAATAATGGGCGAGTCGAAACAAGCAATCTTCTTAACGGGTCGAGCTCGCTCCACTCAATTATTTTAACGTACAGAAAAATAATGAATTGTTAAGGATGGGCCTAGGGTTGATGCTTAGGCCCGATACGAGACTCGGCTGGTCCATTGATAATCTAAGCCTAGCTTGCTCCTTTCTTAGAATGTTGGAGATATGACATAGGGAAAGAGTTTCCTAAAACCACATCACATCACTTTTGACAGAAGCTGCAAACATGCTCTGTTCTGATCCAAGCCCATCTCATGTTCGATGCTCGCACAAACATTGTCGTTTGCTGCACGAAAGTGTCCGAGTTTACGTGTTATTACCTGGCATCCAATGCGTTTCCACAAAAGAGACGGTCAAAGATTGGATTATTCGTCGTCGGCACGCTCCTCTGCAACTGCTACACAATGGCACAATCTATTCGCGAATTCAAGAACGGACTATTGGTCGAGGCCGGCTGGTTTTTGGCTCTGTTGTCTGATCGTGACGTCTTGTCACTTAGAGCAAGCTCTTTTGGCTTAAAATAAGAAGCGCACCAACACTAAAGATTTCAATAAACCGAAGACCGGCACTGCAAAACAGCAAAGCGAAGACCTCCTGGGTTGATTCCTGGAGCCTTCAAAATGGACTTGACAGGAGTTTTCTGAGTATAATGGCTAACAAAGAAGCTTTTTGAAAACTTTCACGGATGATATACCTGATGGCGAACAAAGAAGCATTTTGAAGTCTTTAAAATGAAGTTTCATAACTAGAATTTTGAGGCGAATATACGATAAATTCTCAGACAGTTTCTCTCCTCTTCCGGTTTCCTCTTTACCAGCAAAGCAAACTGTCATGGTGTTACCGGTATGATTGCTGTAATGATGTGAAGACGTCGAACCACCATTCAAACCTTAAACAAAGAAAAGAAGAAAGAGGCAATATGTTTGTTTATGCAAGTAAGGAGCATCCTATTGGTAGTCTCCTGGAGTCTTCCAATCACCCCCTTCATTTCATCAGCTCTGGGGGCCCAAGGAAGAGCCGTTTGAATAATATACGAGTATATGATCCTTCCATGTAGCTACATGCTCATCTCAAGCATTAACCTATAAATGCTCTCACTTCGCATCATCGGTGAATCAAATTTTAATCTCCTTTTGCAGGATTGGTCGTGCATGATGATGACACTGAAGAACATAACCTGGAAATCTATGATCTTTGGCTGCTACAAAACCAGGACTTCTCGGCCCAAAAGGGACGAACCAGCCACAAAGCAGGGCCACATTGATCGGGTATCCCTCACAGATGTTTGTAACCCGAGCTTGCAGGTCTCCGTCCATAATCTCTCAGTTTGTCTCGTCAGCTCCAATCTTCACGTATTCACACTGGCGGAACTGAGAGCAGCGACCAGTGACTTCTCGTGGAGCAATTTTCTTGGCGAGGGCGGGTTCGGGCGAGTGCACAAAGGGTTTGTTGCTGACACGCTTAGGCCTGGACTGGAGGCTCGAGCTGTGGCTGTGAAGCTGCTGAACTTGACCGGGTGGCAAGGCCACAAGGAGTGGCTGGTCTGACTCTGCAATTAACTCTTCTTTGCCTTGCACAAATGAATGTTTTAGGTGATCATGAACTCCCTTTTCATTTGGCCAAGCTTGTGCTGTCACAGGCGGAAATAATTTTCCTTGGACAACTCCAGCATCCGCATCTCGTCAAATTGATCGGGTGCTGTTGCGAGGACGAGCACCGACTCCTAGTCTACGAGTACATGGAGCAAGGGAGCTTAGAAAATCTCCTCTTCAATAGTATGTTGCCTTAACAGAAGTCCTGTCTCGGCTTTTGTTTAACCCGCAAAATGACCACATTCGATAATATAGCACATAAAACTGTGTATGCTTATGCTGTGATGCGATTCGTACCAACCAGTGATTAATTCCCAAATTTTTTTCTTGGTCGATACGAAGATTGTTCCCCGGCCCTGCCATGGTCGGTCAGGATGAAAATTGCTCTAGGAGCTGCCAAAGGCCTGGCTTTCCTTCACGAAGCAGATAGACCGGTGATATACCGGGATTTCAAAGCTTCAAATATATTGCTGGACTTGGTAAGCATCTCTCCTAGTTCCCTCAATGAACTTAAAACCGCATTCTTCATAAGAAGAAAGAGACTATTAGAGTCCTGTGATTGCATGATGGTGGGAGTCTTGTTGATATAACTGCATAACACTAAATAAACTCGAGCTTCTATTTGTTCGAAGGACTACACGGCTAAATTGTCAGACTTCGGCCTGGCAAAGGATGGTCCAGAAGGAGACAACACGCACATCTCGACACGAATCATGGGCACCCCGGGCTATGCAGCCCCCGAGTACATCCTGACAGGTGCGCCTCGTGTTCTCTTCCACGCTGACTTCTTTCCTTCAGCAACACAGCTATAGCCTAACAACTTAGATTTCCAGCGGCTGCATAATGTCGCTTCTCGCTAATACAGTCGCAAACGTGTTAATCAAACCCCACTTGCAGGTCACCTGACGATGATGAGTGACGTGTACAGCTTCGGGGTGGTCCTGCTGGAGCTCCTCACGGGCAAGATGGTGATGGACAAGACGCGGCCCCGGCGAGAGCAGGACCTCGCGGAGTGGGCAAGGCCGATGCTGAAGGACCTGAGCAAGCACGAGAACGACATCATGGACCCAAGGCTCGAGGGGCGGTTCTGCGCTAACGGGGCTCAGGTGGTGGCCATGCTGGCCTACAAGTGCCTCAGCCATGACTCCAGCAAGAGGCCCAGGATGAGTCAGCTGGTCAGGGTCCTGGAACTTCTCCAAGCAAAGTGAAAAACAAGTGAAGGGATCGAAATTTGCATGGAAGGAATCTTGTAGTCAACTATTTAAGAGTACAAGGTGGTACCTGATTGGTCTCCGACATGTATAGAAACACAAACAGTATAGGATACGATGATCAGGTTTGCTTCAGACACGTTGCAGTCCTGAACTGATGTCTTCCCCTTTCTGGGTTTTCAGCACAATGTTTGCATTTTTATTTATTTAATTAGGTTTTATTTGTTTAGGTTTATGATCATTCCACATGATCATTTTTATGGATGAATGAATTGCAAGTCTTATTTTCCGAATAAATCGGCAATATTTATTCGTTTATTCTGAAAAATAGTAAAGTAAATTATACGCATTTCTTATTTGATGATGCGATGACTTATCGTTTGCTGTTTTCGAGCAGTAATTTAATAAATCTCTATTTCTTCGATTGAATGTTTTGATTAATCTCTCGAGAAATCAAGAAAGATCCCTAAAGCACAGACTTCAGTCTTTTTATTATTATCTTTATTTCTTGCAACAGAAAAACTTAGCTCTTAAGGCAAAAGAGGAAAGCATGAATAAACTAATTAAAAGATTAACATTTTAAACTGTAAAGAAGGTGAAAATATGTGGACAATTGCTGACCGGATCTATTTGAAATATTTGAAAATTTTTTAAATTTTTTGACTTTCTTCAGCTTTTTCATTCGCACAATTTGGCTCCCATTTAAGGGAAAAAAAATGCCTAAAAGCCTTTCAAAATCACAAATGCCGACCAACAAAAACCATATACAATATAATTTCTTTCGATTATCACACGAGAACAAGCGGTGACAATCAATGAATTTCATGTTAAAATAAGGAACTAAAAAACTAAAAACAATTCATCAGCCGAAAATTATTCGACCAATTTCCAGATAATTTCCTTCTTTTTTTTTTTTTGTAACTAACTAATTTCGGTTGCGAGTTCCGCACATCGTATCAACAATTCCTGGAAAATTTTCCCAGAGCAATTCAGCACTCGAGCCCCACCACCACCTGCTGCGCTGCCGCTTCGACATTCTCTCTCTCGTTTTCCCGGAAAAAACCCAAATTCCGGGAAAAGGAAAAGGCCTCGAGATCACTGATCACAGAGAGAGAGAGAGAGAGGGAGGGAGGGAGAGAGATGGTGAGCGCGGGGCAAGCGGCGGCGGCGGCGGCGGCGGGCGGGAACCTGAGCCTGCACGATCGCGAGATCCTGACGTCGGTGAACGCGGTGGCGTCGAGCTTCTCGCTCCTGGGCTCCGGCTTCATCGTCCTCTGCTACGTCCTCTTCAAGGAGCTCCGCAAGTTCTCCTTCAAGCTCGTCTTCTACCTCGCCCTCTCCGTAAGCCCCTCCTGCCGCCGCCATTTCTCTCTCTCTTTTTTTTTGGCCCTTCCCCTTTTCCCCCCGGGTCTGTGCTCTCTGGAAGAGCTCGGGGCTGCTTTTCCTCAGTTTCGTGTCTCGAATTTCCTCCGGTTTGTTCGGTTGGGGAGGTTCGCGCATAACGGAATTGAGGTTCGATCTGAGTGAGGGGAGTGAAGTGGTTGTGTTCCAGTTAGATCTCGCGAGTTAGCTAGATGAGCATTTTGCCTTTTTCGTTTCGAAGCGTGCGGCTTTGTTTTTTCGAGTTTGTTCCGGTGGTAGTAGCGGTTGAGTACGGGATTCGATGAGAGAGGGGAACGCCTGTGTTTCGTTTGAGGCTTTGTGGAAGACAGTCCAGTGAGCGTGATGGTTGAATTTTAGGTGTGGCGGAGGCTTATGAGATTTTAGCGTTCGAATCGTAATTTTTTCTCTTGTTCGTGACTCCGAGCTTTGACATCATTTTAAGGTTCATGTCCCTGAGGTACAAAAAGTAGAGCTCAAATTTCGTGCGGTCTAGTGATTTGACTTTGTAGTTTGGCATGTATGTGACTAGAAAGGCAATGAATGCTATTTTTCGAAAAGGACACAGTTCGATGCAAGATATTTTGGTGTGTGTTTAGATAAAATGCTGTCCGTCGGGTCTAGATGCGTATGCGGTGATTATCTTTGCGACACTGAAGTAGAAGGGTCAGATGTATTGGAGAGGCGGCCACCCCACATTTGATTCGATGATTACGATCTGCTTTTCCCTTGACCGAATGCAAGTGATATCTCTTTTACTGAGTCTATTTAGCGAGGGTGCCAAGCCAACTGAAGTTTGCTTACTTTACGACAATGTGGTCCTGCTTTGATCCAATGTCAACTGCTATGCCCTCACTTCTATATGCTTGTCTGCGGAAGATACGATAAACTCTTGTGTGTTTTCCTAGTATGAGAGTAGGGAAATTTTACAGGGAAATCTATTTTTGATTTCATCATGATTTGAAGGCAATAAGCCCGCACTTGTTCTAACCTATAGCATGATGTTTGTGCGCAGGATATGCTTTGCAGTTTCTTCAACATAATTGGGTGAGCTACCCATGTTTGCCTATTTAAATTTTTATTTGTTTTATCTAGTGCATCACCTTAGATGTTGTGGTTTTATTGCAGTGATCCATCCAAAGGATTCTTCTGTTATGCTCAGGGCTATACCACCCACTTCTTTTGTGTGGCATCCTTTCTTTGGACAACAGTGATTGCATTCACTCTTCACCGAACTGTTGTTAGACACAAAACCGATGTTGAAGATTTGGAGGCTATGTTTCACTTATATGTATGGGGTATGGACTTATGACCTTCAATGTTGAGACTGACAGATTTTTAGTGGCTTGCTGAGACTTATTTGGCCAGAAACTGTGACTATGTTTCTTTGCACATATGTCTGCACTATGGTTTTTGTTAGAAAAGGTACAGATTTTGTCAAAAAGATCTCTTTCCTCTGTCTTCAGCATGAAATACTGATTGGCTGCCAAGTAATTCTTCTATTCTATGAATGTAGCAATTGGTGCATTGCCCCTTCAGAAGCATTTACAGGATTTGGCAGGACCATTACTATTTTTAATCAGTTTGGGAGTGCCTGACATATTCCTTAAACTTCCTAGAGACAATGTTTTTGACATTTCAATTGGAATGGAGGGAAGAGACGAGAATACTTTTTTTTTTATAGAAAATCCTAGCTAGCTTAGGTGCTTTTGGTGGTTCTCCTACATCCTCTTTGATGACCCGTGCCACGTAGAAGGGATGCGATCTGACCACCCATTGCATAGAGCCCTGAAGTAGCAGCTAACGAAAGAACCGGGGAAAGTATAGGGAAAGGTCTCCTCCAACTTAGAATGGTTCATTTTGGGGGGCAAGATGCTTGGCAGAAGGATAGTTTTAAAAATCGAGTAACTGAGTAGGGTTGCTATGTCAAGTAGTTTTGGTTTGTTGTTGTAAGTCAAATTCTCTGACTTACAGTTGGAAGTAGTATAATATGGAGGCCAACTTTCTTTGGCTGGTAAAGTGGGCTTTGTAAAGCTGATGTCTAGGATAACTTATTTCATTGTTGTTGAGGGAGCATATAATTTGTTCAATGGTGTTGCTGCAGTGAAGCTCAGCTTCCAGTTAACTTGCCATATTTTGCCATAATGAGTGTATGGCATGGCTCAAATAACTTTTAAGTACCAGTGAGGATATAGATGAAGATCGAACAAAGAAATTAATAGATGGAGCAGAATATGAGTGGATGATGTAGTTCATGTAACTGTTCTACTCTCTACTGCAGCACATTAGTGAAGCTTCAACTAAGAAATTGGAAGAAAGGAATAAATCTGTGTGGTTCTAGTAGGCTGAAGACATACTTGAACTTCTCTCAGTCTTTGCTGCTGTGATGAACCTGTATAGGAGCTCATATTTCTGTTTGTTTTATTGTGTCAGGCACATCTTTGGTTATGACGGTCATACGCTCTATTGGCAATGATCACAGAAATTTAGGTGCATGGTGTTGGTCACAAACGGGGCGCACAGGGAAGGCAAGCTTTCAAGGACATTCATTTGTTCTATCACAATATTGCCTTTTCTAAGTTTTTTTTTTCCTTGCCTTGTAAATACAACCATTCAATTGCCCAAACAATTTTTTACTGGAAGGGCTCTCTTTCCTATACGAAGATAAAGTGAAGAATGCTAGATTCAATTTGACCATCTTACTGGTTTTGGAAACAGCAGTCCTGGGTCCTTATATATCTACAGATATAGAAAATGGGCACTAAAAGTTAGGAATTCAAGCAAATGCATCCAAAGCTCAATCTTTCTCCTCTATTATTGCAGTTGTCCTTGAAAAGTTGAAATCATTGTCATATCTGGCAGATGAGGCATACTCCCCATATATGCTGTGGCAGATTTTTAGATATAGTTAATATGTTTCATTTACTATTTGGCGGTATTATGTATAATTTGAGACTTGCGCATTATTAAACTTCAGATTTTTAAGGCATCTGTAGTAATGGAGAAGCCTGAGAGTTCTATAGTCCTTCAAAAATCTTAGTGTTGCATACATTTGACACCTCTCCTCTTTTGGCTGCAGGCAGTCCACTTCATTACGTTTTACGCGCCACTCTGGGGAGCCATCCTTTATAATGGTTTTTCATACTTTCAAGTGATACGCATGTTAAACAATGCCACACGTGTATGTACATATGTGTACATATATTATTTAGGAAAGTAGCAACATTTATGTTTAGCACAGACTACTGACTAATGCTCCTTTTGAAATACGTAGATGGCAGTTGGCATGTCAGATCGAGCATACCACTCAGATGCAAGACCTGATATGAAGGTATGCTGTACATGGCAATTAGATGTAGATGCTTGGCAGGGCTTAAACAGTCTAGAGGAATCGAATGTGCTAATAGACATCTACCCTTGGACCATTCTTTCCATATATATGAGATTTCACTTAGCCTTATTATGTCGTTAAAAGTGTTCCCAAACTGTGCAGATCTGTTCATTACCATTTCTCTAGCTAGGAAAGTGAGTGGCTTCACCTGTATTTAGATTATCGAGAGCCCAGTTGCTTTACCTGTTCTTTACCGTTTTGAACATTGTTGATGAGAGTCAAAATGTAAGGAAATAATCATCGAACATAAATTCTTTGCTTGATGTTTTCCCTTTCCTAAATTCATGTCTTGTGATGACCGTTTCATATTTTATCCTGCAATCATTTGATTAAATGGAAAACTGATGTGCGCGATATGTCTTCCGCATCATGCTTCATGTACTTCACAGGCTTTGAACAGGTGGGGATATTACCCGCTCATTCTGATAGGATCGTGGACTTTTGGTACAATCAATCGCATACATGACTTCATTGAACCTGGACATAAGATTTTTTGGCTGTCTCTTCTTGATGTTGGCACTGCTGCTCTGATGGTAATCCTCATCGGCCTTAAGCTTGACTCGATTTGCTGTTTGAATTAATACTTGGTAGATAATATGTGGGGTTTGTTCAAGGTTTTGGGACAAGACTGCTCATAGGAAGTTTCTTTATCTATTTAATGAAATCTGGGAATGCATGACTGGAAAGACTTCCGCACTATGAGAGAGCTAAATTAAGATTTGCACTCTATGTTTTTTTTTTTTGGACATAGATTTGCACTCTATGTTTAACTGCCCTGAATAATCTCCTCTCTTAAATGAGCACTCATAGGCTTAACCATAACAAAAAGTTCGATGTTTCTGAGATGGAGTGGTCCAATGATCAAGATGTAGTTACTTCCAAGGTTTTTGTATAACCTTGTTTTGCATGTCAAAGCGGTGAATTGCTGATAACATTAACAGAATGGCCTGCCTCTAAAGGGGAAGTCATCTTTTGATTTTCTATGATAAACAGCAAAGTGAATCAGTTCTTTTTTTCCCTTTTTCATTTAGGGCCTGTTCAACTCAATAGCATATGGCCTGAATTCTTCGGTGCGACGGGCGATTCGCGAGAGATTGGATCTGTAAGTCCTTGTCACTCTTCTTTTGGCCATCAACAAGTCCTCATCACTTATTTTTTCGGAAATAAGTTGTATCTCCTGCTTTCTAATCTTAACATTATCTCTCGACGGACTTCACAATGCTTTTCTAAACAGCCTGGGAGCTGATCTTTGAAGTATGGCTCATGCCTATAAAATTTACATAAGAAAAACCACAAAGCAATCGATTGTTTGGTCGAACTCAAACGTTAGTCTAATATCAGTAGTGGGACAAAAGGGGCGTCCATTAACAATTCATAGGTGAGGTAATTTATCTTGTAGTAGAAATCGGCGGGCCGGGGTAATTTGATATCCATGTTGCATTTGGAAAAGGTACTTTGGAAATATATGGGTTTAAACTGGGAAACGTCCTACTTTGCGTCATGTCGATACTATAGGTACAGCGGTTGCTGCTCGTCTTTTGTTGAATCTATTATGCTGTTTTTGTGATTAGCAAGAAAATTAATTCCTGTAAATGGCTGCATCTCCATTTGCAGAGTAATCTGGCCGGAGACGATTAGGCCATGGTTGCCCAACAGTTCAAGGATCAGAAACCAACAGCAAGAGAGTGAGCTAGTGTCACTGAAAATCCAAGATCCGCACTGACGATTTCAAAATTATATGCCCATCTTCTTCGACAAGGTGAAGTGATTGAGTAAGCCATGGAGCTACCGCTTTTGATAACCCTCATCTGACTGATCCGAAGTTCCGGTAGACGCTCGTGAGATTGGACCGTTTCTTACTTCTTTTTCTAATGAAACACCTAGTAATTTTTTTGTGACGAAGGGGGTAGTGTCGCCAATCAGCAACCGGTAGCCGCAATCTTGTACAATAGAAGCGATTTTTTTCTGCTGCTAGAGGGACTCGGGTTTCGGTTCCCCGTTTTGTAGGTTGATTTGTATAGAATATATTCTTTCCACGACGGACTGATCGCCGGACCGCATGGTACGTTTCCGTACACTGACATGATCAGAGTAACTGCATCATTTTTCTCTTCTTTTTTCCGGCTTTTGGACATAGCAAATCAATGTACGTAGCTCGATTGCCAATCGGTTCATCTTCACAAAGAATCGAAATCAAATTCATCACCCGTCACAACGAAGCATTCGGGAATTCGAGCATGGCGAACGGAGTTTCCCACCTTAGGAAGAAGCCGCTCGCTTGTCGTGAATTGAGAGTTTGCTTTGTCGCACGCAGTTTACATCATCAAACCTTTGGGGTAAGTGGAGTCAATGAGAATAGCAAAACGGGACGTTACTTTCCCACGCTTAGCTTAAATACAAAGCCACGCGTTCGGGCCCGTCGCATTATTGAACAGCCAAACCCATGCCAGAACCGACACTCCACATTTCATCAATGCTCGACTCGAATTTCCCGTTCCAGACTTTCTCCTCCTTCGCGCCCGACATGGAAAAATTGCAGTCTTTTGAGCATGAGAATCCTCAAACTGGGTGACTTCTCCAGCTTCGAGATTTCCGTCGTTTCAATCGCATATTAAGGCAAAAACTAAAATTAAAAAAAGAAAAAAAGAAAAAAGAAGGAGGAGAAGATAATTCTGAAAAAAAACCCTAAAGAAGAAACAAAGGAAAAACAAAAACAAAAAACAAAAAACTGTCTCAAAGCGAACGGAGCTTCCAATAAAGTCAAAGATGGATGGACACAACCAAAACGAGAAAGAAGGAACACAACAGAAATTCTGAGCTTTCGGTTAAGCCTCGCTTCGCTTTTCAGGCAGATCCCCACAACACTTACAAATTGCCACGAAGTCCCTCATCGGAAGATCCGACGCCAATCACCAGCCAACCCAAAAAACCAAAAAAACAGAGAGAGAAGAACCTGTCCCGATTCATGGTCTTCACGATTTACATGGTGATGTTATCTAATCACAACAAGGAAAAGCTTAAGCCTAGGCGCAAGCGCAGGCGTTGTCCGCGGCGGCCGTCGCCGTCACCGTCACGGCGTCGTCGGTCCCGCTCCGGAACACCAGGTACCCCACGCCTAGCCCGCACACCACGCTCAGGAACACCCCGCCGTTGAACGACATCACCGCCAGCATCAGCAGGTACCCGATCGCCGAGTTCAACCCGAACAGCACCGACCCTCCCACCCTGGCCACCGTCCACCCCTTCTTCCCGCCGGCGGCCGCCGACGACGCCTTGGAGCCGAGGAGCGGCGTCTCGAGCGGGGCCTCCGGGGCGGCGGCGGCGTCGGCGTCGGCGGCGGAGGAGGGCTTGGCGGCGTCGGCGGAGGCGGAGGAGGGGGAGGAGGAGGAGGAGGAGGCGAGCTTGAGGCGGACGCGGCAGTCCTCCATGAACTGGTAGAAGGCGGAGGCGAGGAAGCAGGCGAGGATGGAGAAGGCGTAGCTGGTCCACGAGGTGGTCTTCCACGAGTCCACCAGGAGGGTCACCTCCCTGCTCCAGTAGAAGGTCATGTGCATCATCTTCTCCCTCCCTCTCTCTCTCTCTCTCTTCACAACCTTTTTTTCTCACAGAGCTCTTGACCCAGAAGAACAAGAAGAAGAAGAAGAAGGAGAAGGAGAAGCTTTTAGAGAGAGAGAGAGAGAGCGTGTGCCTCAAAGAGGAATCGCTTTCACACCGGTGGAGGAGGACAATGGTGGTGAAGGTGAAGAAGAAAGAGCAACAAGAACGAAATGGCGTCGTACGTTGTTGTTGGTGTGGTAGTACTACTGTAAGGGCAAAAAAAGAGAAAGAAAAAGTTTTCTTGCCGACGATGACGAGGTTGGATCGGGCTACGTTTACGGTTCTGCCCCCGAGGTCGGTCGTTATTTACGGTTCTGCCCGGTCGTGAGGTGCGAGGGCCTCCAGGGGCTGCGGAGGGAAACTGACCCAACTCACGGGGCGGGCCCGGCTCCATCCGATTTGTTGATAGAAATTGGCGGGTACTAACCGAGGGCGGGAGGGTCTTTTCACTTCTTCTTTTGGTGGGTTTGACTAGTTGCTGGGGGAACGGAAAAAATTCAAAAAGAAAAAAAAGAATTTGAAGGAATAAAAAAAAGGTTATGTCGAATACGGTACGAAGTCCGAACTAACGTGTCATTTATTTATAATGCAATTCTTATCCTACGTGTCATTTATTTATAAAAAAAGAAGGGGGTTTGATTTATCTAATTTCTTTATTCTTTTGTGGGGGGGGGGGGGGGTGTCTCTGGATAAGCGTTCGCGTCACGTCACATTCTATGGGGGAGCAAAACGAGAGAGGAAGAGAGAGTCGTCTATAAGCAACGTCGCCGAGCAAGAAGATGCTTTCACGCGTCGATTTCGCGAGGGGCGCGACCATATAAAAGAGACCACAAACGATGTCGAGCCTCGATGGCACGATGCTACGGTAATAAGACGGGAATCGCGGGGTCAATCTTAGGGGGGAGGATCGTCGGAAGGTCTCTCGTTCGGGACTTCAAGTACGCATTTTCGTCCGAGTAAAAGAGAGCGAGAGAGAGAGATGAGGCTTGTGCGTGCCTTTTTTGTTTCCTTACTTTCCTTTCACGTTTTAATCATTTCTCATTTGTTATCTAATTTCTTTTTTTCCTTTTTGTGGGGGTGTCTCTGTCTCTAGATAAGCATTCGCGTCACGTCACATTTTATATGAGCGAATGAGAGAGTCGTCTCTCGGACCGCGCATGGCAACGATTCTGTACCCGAGAACAGATTTTTCTCAAAAATGATTCTTTTGATTCCGTGCCCGAAAACAATTTCTAAGCATTTGAAGGCGTTTGATAACTGTCCAAAATTTCTATTCTTAGAATAGAAAAAGAACAGAAATGCATTTGGTAACTACACAAATTTTTTTTTATTAATAATATTTTGAATTTTTTAATATTTCATTTTCTCTTTTTTCCTTCCCTTCCTTGGTCATGGCCGATCGCTGGCGCCGGCGACCGGCCATAGGCGAGGGCGTCGCGGCCCTCGCCATCGCCCTCACCGTCGCCACCCAGGTCCCTTGCTTGGGCGGTGATGGCGAGGCCGGCCTCGCCACCGTCACGACCGCGAGCCGCCCTTGCCCAGGCGATGAGGGTCGCGACGCCCTCGCCGACCCTGGCCGGCGGTAGGGCGGGAAGAAGAAGAACAACAAACCAAAAAAAAGAAGAAAATCAAGAAGAATCAGAAATGGAAAAATTGTTCCAGAATCAAGAAGTTATTTCTTTTTTTGTTTCTTGATTCTGTTCCAAAACTGATTCTGAGAATAATTTTTTGCAAATTTGTGCCCAGGCACAAAAATTTTAACAAACGGATTTATATTCCCAAACTAATTCTGAAAATAAAAGAACAGACGGGGAATCGATTTCGCAAACTGATTCTGAGAACAATTTTTTTGCAAATTCATGCGTCGATTTCGCAAGAGGCGCGACCGTAGAAAGAGACCACAAACGATGTCGAGCCTCGATGGCACGACGCTACGGTAATAAGAACGGGAAATCGCGGGGGCAATTTTCGGGGGGGAGGATCGTCGGAAGGTCTCGTGTTCGGGACTCCAAGTTCGCATTTTCGCCCCCCCGAGCAAAGGAGAAATTTGAAAGTACACCGCCCCCCCAAAATCGTACGACACAGGGAGAGAGAGAGATGAGGTTTGTGCGTGCCTTTTTTGTTTCCTTTACTTTCCTTTCACGTTTTAATCATTTCTCATTTGTTGCGTCTCGAAAATGAAAGACAAATAGGGGAGGACATTTAGGGGGAGAGATGGGGAAAAGAAAAGAGAGTGAAGGAAAACCAAAGCCTTTGTGATAAAAATAGCGAGACATTTATTTTTATTTTTTTGGGTCGAAGGTGAGACATTTATTAACATGTAATTAATATGTACCATGGAGCTGCTTTTTCTGTAATTGCACTCTATTTTTGATTAATTACTCTTATAAATACAAGTCTTGCGGCCCTACTTGGGATTAAGCTACCATAAACAATAGTATGTTCTTGCCGAATTACCGGTGTGCACTCGTAGGACTGAATTCAGCATTAGAAGCAAGATGATTGCATTTTTGTAGTTTGGTCTAGAACGCATTTCATAGGAATTTCGAAGAATAACACAACCTCTCAAAAAATGTGGACATGAACTATTTGCTAACCTTCCTTACCAAAAAAAAAACAAACTATCTGCTAACCTTAACGATGCAAATCAATTTCATGCTGTTTAATTTGGACTAATTTCTCGTTATCGCTTAAAAGGAATCTAAATACACTTATCTTGTGACATTCATAAATTAACTCACTCGTTGTATTATCCGCTTTGGTTCATCCCATACCGAACCTCACGATTTAATCATTTGCCTTACAGGCATACCCTTTACCATAAGGTCACCCATCATGATAGTGTTCTAGCATGAGCGTAAACTTTGGAGCCAATACGTCAACAGGCACCTCCATGAGTTCATTTCAATTTTCACGTGTATACCCTAAACATCGTTATCCCTCTATTCGATGTGTAATTTGGTTCATTCATGGCCCATTTGCCATCCTAGAAGCTTGCCACGAGCTGCTCTTTATCTGAACCCTTTAGCCCCGGCAACCACGGTTTTGCCCTTTGGCGTACAAGCACGCACTTTCCTATGAGGCTGCCTGTCTTGGTAGTGCTCTAGCTTGAGCACGCTTAATTTTGGAGTTCCAAAGCAAAGTTTGCCCCATTCACCATCCTAAAAGTCTGCTAAGAGTTGTTTCTTGTCCTAACCCTCTGGCCCCAGCAACCACGGTTTTGTCCTTTGGCGTATAGACACATGCTTTCCCATGAGGTTGCCTGTCCTAGTAATGCTCTAGTTTGAACACGCTTAAATTTGGAGTTCCAAAGCAAAGCTTGCCCTCTTCGCCATCCTAGAAGCTTGCCAAGAGCTGCTCATTGTTCGAACCCTCTAGCCCCAGCGATCACGGTTTTATCCTTTGGCATACAAGTATGCACTTTCCCATGAAGTTGCCTATCCTAGAAGTGTTCTAGTCTGAACACGCTTAACTTTGAAGTTTCAAAGCAAAGCATGTCGTTACATTAAAAGGCGTCTTCATGAGTTAATTCTAATTGTTACATACATACATACATATAAGATATTGCTCTTTTTTTGTTCAGTGTTCAATTGAGTTTATTCGTGCCCTTTTCGCCATTCTAGAGGCTTGCCCATAGCCATTCCTCGGCAGTGGGCCCCGTTCATATTTTCTTTTCTTAGGTGGTAAGAACGATGGTGGGAGAGTCTTTTCCTGCTTTTTGGTGGGTTGGACGAGCTGTTGGGGAGTCATAATAAAAAATATATATTAAAAAAGATAAATAAAATGATAATGGAGATAAATTAATAGAAAGAAATCATTAAATGCGGGGAAAACTATTATGGTATACTTAGTCTAGATCTAAAGGCATTAGCTTTTCCCACAATCTTAGATTGTTATGCAATTTTGCTCGTGTAAAAGAAAGGGAGGAAAATTCCAAATCAATACCTAAAATTGGGTCATTTTCTTAAAAAAAAAGGGTCCAAAATGGACATAGTACCAAAATTAATTTTTATTTCGCCTGAGGCTGGCAACCTCCGCCGGCCCTGGCTATGGCCGGCGGAGGGAAAAGAGGAAAAAATAAAAAGAAAAGGGAAAGAAAAAAATATTAAAAGGAAAAAAGAAACAAAAAAAATTTAAAAAGTAAAAGATGAAATTGCCCTTATTCCGGCTATCGGAACAGTGACGTGCTCGCCGGCCAGTGAGCATTTGACCGGCCGGCGAACCCAGGCCCTTATTTGAGATTAATTGGACACTTGGGGTTCCTATTTGAGACTGATTGGGCACTTCGGGCACTTATTTGACACTATATCAACTTTGGACCCTTTTTTTGAGAAAATGGCCCAACTTTGGGTACTGATTTGAAAAGCCATCAAAAACCCTAAACTATACTTACTACGACGGATTTACCTTAAACTTTTTTTTGCGACACAAAAAACTCCAAAGTTGTACTTATACGACACATTTTATCCCAAACTTGCACAGTGTAACACATTTACCCCAGACTTATCATTGTGATACCAAAAACCACAAAACTTGTATTCATATGACACATTTATCTCGAAAATTTAGTGTCACAGAAAAAGTCAGGGGCAATGTGTTACACGGGTACAAATTTGAGGGTTTAAGTGTTAAAAAAAATAGTTTAGAATAAATGTGTCACGACAGGTAAAGTTTTGAATTTTTCGTGACTTTTTTCCTAAAAGAAATAAAAATTAATTTATCTAATCTTCTTCGTGGGCGTGGGTGGGGGATTACTACAAATCGTTAAGTACACATTTCGTGCGAACAGCAAAAATGGAAGTACACGGCACTCAAAACCGCAGTACAGAGAGAGAGAGAGAGAGAGAGAGAGAGAGTGGAGTGGTTCCGAAGATGCAAGTGCACATGCATCTTTCTTTCCATACTTTCTCTCTGTTTATAACGTTTTTCTCGTTTGTTGTTATGTATGCGTAACGAAAAAAAAAAGAAAACGACACAAAACGGTCCATGAATTTCTATTTGATATGCAATACCGCTCTTAAATTTTCAATTTGTGAAATGCGATTCCTGAACATTGGCCCAATTTACAATGTCGTGTAATTATTTTGGAAAATACACTACATTGGAGCCGCTCAACGGTCCTCGATCATGCCCGTTTTGCTTTTTGTACAGATATATTCAATTAACAAAATTCTATTACTATCTAACTTTTTTTATAGGGTTATTCATTTTGCATGATTGTGATTCAGTCTGCATTTTTTTTAATTAAAATACACCGATGGTAAACAATTTTTTTTTTTTTAAAACTCGTGTTGATCTATTATTATATTTGGATGAGATGTGTTGGAACATGCACGATTGGGTAGGGCTTAGCAGGTGAATAACAGCCCAGCCCAGAATTCATGCTCTCAATTGGAAATTGTTCTCATATCACATTGAATTGTGATTTTCTATGATGACCATTCGCGTATGATTTTCTGCCATAGCTAGAGCTTGAAGTTCAAAAAAACTGGTCTCTACACCATCAAAATGGCTTCAATAGGCCTTAAGAAACGAAGCTAGATACAAATTGGTTTCGCGGATGCCGACCAAAATGCATCGATTACGAAAATCGAGAGCAACAAAAAAGTAAAATGGCATCAAAATTTAGGGACCACGAATGAAAATTACCCTCATAACTTAATGTAAGGCTAGTTCAGTTTTCTCAATTTGTAAAGTTCTCGGGGGGCAAATGATGCGTGTTTCGTGAGTACATCGACAGCAAAATTGAAACATGATGTGATTGCTCAATTGTGCACATAGCATATTGGACTCTAGTATCACGAGCAAGAAGAAAACAAAGGTATAGGAGGTCGGCTTCTATCGTAAAGTTCAAAATAGGGCTGAACGGATAAGAAAAACGAGAATTCAGAAAATCATCCTCCTGTTTTGTTGCACGCACATCAAACAGCGGTCTCGATCGATTTCCTATTTTTAAGTTAACGTCCGGGTTTCGATCCTATTTACGAATTTGTCATTTTTCCTTCCGACCCGCCATGCTAAACCTATCCCACAAAACTCGCATAACCAAAAACCCTAACACGACTCAAGCTCAGTGCTCCTCCTCGGTGATGTCCACGGCCACCATGCTACCGCCCACCTGCTGCCCCCCGAGCTGAGCCATGGGGTTTGAGGTGGTGTGATGCTTTGGTCTTTTTTAGCAGGGGATTCTGTTTGAAGATGCAAATTACGGATTTTCTAAACGGGGATGGAGCTTGATAAGAGTTGTCAAAGTTGTGGATGATTTATGAAATTATCCAAAAAAAACGTTCTTTTCTTTTTCTAAAATTAGTAGGTGCCCTTTTTATACGATTGATCTTTACAGATGCATGCGAACAATTTCACGCACGTAAATCGCATAAGATCCACCTACTTGATAATAGACGCGACTCTCAAGATTACTTTGCTTAAATGTCCTCGTGTCAAATAATCTAAACGCCCCGTGTCTCGTTATCCAGAAGTACACTGTAATCTTTCTCTTTAATCTATATATAGAATAGTGATGAGCAGTACATGTACATTACACGTCGGCCTTTGGTCACCGGAGAAAACCGGCCCAGCCGATCAGATTTAAGGCCGAGACATTTAGGCTGCGAATGGTAACCATTATGTTTCTCTATTTTTGTTCTAGAAATAGGTTTGGAACAGAAATCTGTTTAGTAACGAAATTCCAATTTCTATTTCTGGAACAAATTTTTGTTTCAGAAATAGGTTTGGAACAGAAATCAGAAATTAAAATTTTTTACTTTCTCTATTTCTGGAACAGAAATGAGAAACAAAATTTTTTTGTTCTTCTCATTACTTTCCTTCACTACTAGCCGGTCGCTCACACGCCGCCCATCGCTGGCCGCCGCCGACCGCTGCTACCCGCCGCTGGCCGCCTACCCTCCTCCCCCTACCGACGGTCGCCACCAACCACCGTCTCCCGCCACCACCCGCCTCCCACCCCCGGCCTCCCTCCTCCCGCCACCGCCGCTCGCCTTTGGCCGCCGCCCACCTCCCACTGCCGGCCGCCGTGGGCTGCCGGCCTCCGTAGGCCAGCCATCGTCTCCCGCCACCACTCGCCTCCCACCCCCGGCCTCTCTCCTCCCGCCACCGCCGCCCACCTCCCACCGCCAGCTGCCATCCACCGGCCACCATCTCTCACCACCGGCCGCCCTCCTCCCACCGCCGCCCGCCGTCCATCGGCCACGATCTCTCGCCGGCTGCCGTGGGCCACCGTCTCCCGCCGCCAATCGCCCTCTTTTGGCCGCCACCCACCTCCCACCGCCGGCCACCGCCGCTCGCCGCCCGCCGTCCATCGGCCACCATCTCCCATCGTCGGCCACCGTCCTCCCACCGCCGGCCACCGTCTCCCACCGCCACCCGCCCTCCTCTCGCCTCCATCCACCGCCCGCCGACCACCCGAGAAAAAGAAATTTTGTGCTGTTATCAAACAAATTTCTGTTTCTGAAACAGAAATTTTGTGTAGTTATCAAACGTGTTTTTTTGCTAAGAAACTCCTCCAGGAACAGAAATAGAAAAATCAATTTCTGGCCAGAAATTGATTTCTGAAACAGAATGGTTACCATTCGCAGCCTTACACTCGAGACCGACAAAACCCGACAAGAAGAATTACTTCCTTCTGAACTCATTCCAAACAGTCGCGCTAGTCTCTAGATGGGAATTGAACCCGAACTCTCGCGTTCCAAAGCCATGCTCATCGACCTGCGATGCATTCAGATTCGAACCGGTCGATACACTACATCTGTTGAATTATTGAGGGGAGGGTTAGGAAAACATTAGGTGAGCCGTTAACCAAAAAATGGTTGCGCCCATCTGATTTAGTGATACATCACTGTCAAATTTTTTCTTTGTACCTTGCATGAGCACATGAATTTCTCTTGTTCTGACCACACATGTGCATTGAGGGCTTGATCATGGGCCAGCATGGTCCTTGACCTCTTTTTCTCTTGGGGCACCGTTTGGTGGACGAAGCACATCTCTAACCAACAATGACCCGCCGTGCCTAACGAAAGACACTTAACAGCTTTGTCGTTAGCGAAGGTCAATAATCAAAATGGTCCTCTCCTGATCACAATCTTAATCGATCCAAGGCATAACATTTTTGCCAAAACTGAACTGATAGTCGGGTACGGCATTGTAGAGATCCGATCCCGTGCCCGTCTTGCACCCGAATGAGTGAAAACCGGAAAGATCGGTTCACGTATCGACACGTCATGTGATGACGGGATTTGGCATCGTGCATTGCACCAAAGCGACGTCTAAGAACAAGGACTTCGTTGGTCTACTTTTGTTACGGACGAAAGGGTAAGAAGAGATCGAGACGGGGTCATGAGTCATAGCGAACCTTCCTTTTGGCATTATCATAAAAATTCCATGCCCGTCCGTAGAACTTTAGGCTTCGAGCCTCGCGAAATTTAATTTGACAAGAACATAACTTCTTAACCAATAAGGCTTTAAATAATTAATTATTTGGTATTGTTCTGCATCATGTTATGCAAATAAAGAAAAGGAGGTGGGGAATCATGGTACTGGGGTTGGTAAACTGCTCTTATCATATAATTTCATTTTCACAAAGATGAATGCAAATTTTTTTTGTATAGTATTCTTTTTTTTTTAAATTTTTGATTGGCCGCATAAAGATGGAGACAATTTAAAAAAAATTATCTTCCAATGTATTATATCCTCCTCGTCCAACCTGGTGGAGACAATATCCTATTCTCCCATCACGTGAAATATTCACAGGTTTGTACCTAGTAGGGTCCAAGGCATGTGGTGTAGGCAAAAAATGTGTGAAAGCTATCATAAACCTTTGACTTCGATTAATCACCGATCATATCCATCGAAGTAATCGCGCACGCCCCGTCTGAATTAAACATCTCTAGTGATTAGGATGAACAGCGCCACGCGAGATGGAAACTAGCGGGTTTTGGGCGAGCGATGTTAACATCAAGTGAGATTTAATAGCATCGGCCGGTAGATTCATTTCTACAGACGAGTTTAGAAAAAGGTCTGTTTAGATGATCGTCGCCTCTCATCGCCGTTCGGGACATGAATGATGCGAAGTTGCTGCTAGCCTCGGTTGCTGGTCAGTTCCCCGGAATAGACTTTGACATGATATGGTCCCATTGCTTCCGGTTCACTCAAGACCACAATGCTAGATATGATTCCCACTTTTTCTTAAACCATGCCATAGCCACAAGATCTCATTCCAATGGGCTCAAACCAGTCCCAGAGCCTGGACCCGCCACCATTAGTGTTGGGCAGATCACTTTCTTGGTCCTCACATCACCAGTTTCTGTCATGGAGAGAGCAATGCAGCAACACCACGCGTCATGAAAGGAAGTCCCCCTTTCCTTAAGCTCTAGCTTCCGCCGAACAACGAGAGTGTTCGCAAGAACGATGAATCCACGCGGGTCTCACATGGAATTCGCTACAGTGCACTCGAAGTCTTCTCTAATCTGAGCACTGCATACGGGGATATGATCAATGTTTCGAAAAAGCTTTTGACTATGCTCTCTCTCTCTCTCTCTCTCGCTAGTTTCCTGACAAACAAGAGATGGAGATATTCAAGAACAGAGGAACTTGTTTTTCATGAACAACAGTGAACGCTGACAATTTCACGGTTTCTACCAGCATTCCACCGTCCACACACATCGCAGCAGCATCCTGTGGGCTACCCTTGATTATCAGAAAAAGTGCAGACCTTTTCGAGCCGCTCTGAAAAGAAGCTAATGATGATGGCAGATTTCGAGTGCTGTTCAATCTTTTGGCCGTATTAACGAATCCAAAAGGGGGCTAATCAGAGAAAACCATGTGCAAACAACTCGAGAATTTTGCCAAAAGCTGCTCAGTTTTCACAGCTGTGCCGCAGACAAGGACGCATTCGAGCGCACATGCATGCATGTATCTGCATATCTACATCTCGATGATCTGTGAAATGATCATTAGGCATCAATATATATTTGAAGGGATGCTAGAGACACGCACAAGAGAGCTGTGGACTTAAAAGAACATTCGTTTGGAGGGAAGATTCCGTCAACCTTTCTCTGCATAACGTGTCGGTAATGATTAAGGTTGGAATTAGACGGATATTAGCCATGAGAAATGGACGAGTTGAGATGATTAGGGAAGCATTGAACTAGACCAAAAGCTCAGCAAATCCTACGTTAACCTGAACTAAAAAAAATTTAACTCCTACCCTGAAATCATGTTATTCTTCGTCGGTTCTAGTTCCTCTGCCTGTGATCTCCAGAAATGCTAAGGCGAGACCCGTCATTCCGACAATGCCGAGAAGCAGCTCTTGGATCGCACCATCATCGGCCGGCAAGCCGAGCCCGGCTTCCTGGGAGAGTCCAGGGTCCGCCTCAGGAGCTGCTTCACCGCCGATATCAAGTCCTCCGTTGGGTTCGCCGGCGGGCTCGAGGACCTGAACTGCTGGCAGAACTTCATGTGCCGGCCGAGCGCCTCCTCGCCGTCGATGCCCCCCTCCGACCGGACCGCCTCGTCCTTCACCGCCTCCGCGCAGAGGCCGCAAATCCACCGCCCGCCGAACCGCTCCCGCACGCGGCCGATGTACTCGGGCGTGCACTCCTCCGCGAGGCCGCAGCAGCCGCACTCGGCGAGCTCGAGCTCCGGCGGGGGGACCCCGCCGTGGCCGTTCCGGGGCTGCGGTTGGGAGTCCATCGCGGCGGTCGCGGCAGCGCTAGCCATCGGATCCACACGCCCTCGAACGAAACCACCTCCCCCGATGGACTAATACCAAGAAACACAAAGCGTCAGGATCAGAACCGAGGAATCAAAAGCCGAACTCCTGTCAACCCAACAGAGACTTTTAGCTCGAAAGAAGCTCCTGACAAAGCAAGGATCTTTAAGATCTCGATCGTTCGCGCAGGAGAACACACAGTCCGTCTTATCTATCTCTGCATCTCCCCCAACGTCAGCCCTCTCTTCAACTGCATCGCCGGTCCCGCGACACGCATCTCAGAGGAAGGAGAGCGACACCCACTTGCGCTTCTCTCTCTCTCTCTCTCTCTCTCTCTCTCTCTCTCTCTCTCTCTCTCTCTCTAGGCGTGAAGAGAGAGAGAGCTGGAGGCCATGGCCATGGCTGTGTTCGGACTTTCGGAGCTGCGAAAATGGAGGGAGGGAGGGAGGAGGGTTAGAGAGAGAGAGAGACTTTCGGGGGGGGGGGGGGGGGGGGTATTTATATACGAGGACAGGAGAGGGTGGGTCCCGAATGGTGTCCGACCCGACCCGATAAGGGAGATGCGGGCCCCGCCCCGCCCCACCCCCCCAACCCCCAATCATTGGCGCCTCGGGGAGCGCCGTGATTGCTGCCACGTCACCTCCTTCCCGCTCTCCTCCCCCCCTTCCCCCGCCGTTCGCCTCCGCCGTCGCCGCGTTTTGTAACAGTCGGATAACGTCGAATTAAATAAATAGGGAAAATTTCAATTAAGGACCCCAAGTGGGGTCAAATTCTCAAAAAGGGGTCCAAAGTGAATATAGTGTCAAATAAGGATCTGAAGTGCCCAAAATGTCTCAAATAAGGACCTGAGTCCCCGGCCGGCCAAAATACCTGCCGGCCGGCGAGAGGTTACTGTTCCGTAACCGGAATAGTAACTTTTTAATTTTTTTATTATTTTCTTTCTTTTTTCCTTTTCTGTTTTTGTTCTTTTCCTTTTCCTTTTCCTTTTTTTATTTTTTATTTTTTATTTTCTTCCTCCGCCGGCCATAGCCGGGGCCGGCGGAGGTCGCCGGCCTCAGGCGAGGGCCGCCCTCGCCTGGGCTGGGCGAGGTCGCCCTCGCCTGGGCTGGGCGAGGCCCCCTCGCCGGCGTCGGGCGAGGCCGGCCTCGCCAGTTGCAGGCGAGGTCGAGCCTCGCCAGATCTGGCCAGGGCTCGGCCTCGCCGACCGCTGGCGAATGGTGTCCGAGGACAAGAGAGGACAGGAGAGGGTGGGTCCCGAATGGTGTCCGACCCGACCTGACCCGACCCGACCCGATAAGGGAGATGCGGGGCTCGCCCCCACCCCCCCAACCCCTAATCATTGGCGCCTCGGGGAGCGCCGTGATTGCTGCCACGTCACCGCCTTCCCGCTCTCCTTCCCCCCCTTCCCCCCCTTCCCCTTCCCCCGCCGTTCGCCTCCACCGTCGCCGCGTTTTGTAACAGTCGGGTAACGTCGAATCAAATAAATATGATGAATCGCTCTTTTTTAAATTCCTTTTTATTAATTACTTCCTATTTTTTATTTTTTTTAATTTAGGTAAATAAGACGATTATCATTAGTAAAGACGCAGGCCGATTGCCTCAACCCCGTGGGATCTAGCTAGCAAGGGGCTTCGTGGAAGCATTTATTTTATCATAGCTTTTGCATACCGCTTCACCAGAATTTCTTCCTCCACAAAATGTCTTTTATTAAAAAAAATAATTTTTCAGTTTTTATTAAATGAGATAGGTTTCTTGGTAATTCCGGACGAAAAACATCATTGGTACACTTGCTCCGAACATAACTGTACAAACACAAACCGTGTCGGAATTTGATCCGCGACAAAGTTCGGATAATACGGCCACTCCTGCGGAACCAAATGTAAACGTGCCATGCCAGAATTTAATCGACGACCAAACTTGAGAACGCAAAAATACTATGCCGAAATTTAACCGACGGCGCAGTATCGGTGATCAAGATACATGCCGACACGGATCTAGAATCTACAACTAATAAACACGCCGGAATTTAATCGACGACGAGAGTGTGAAAACTAAAAGTATAATACGAGAAAGTAAAGATAACTGAAAGATAATAGATTTGTTTGTTTTGCGCGGGGGTCTCTAAAGAGTGCGGTATGACTATTTAAAGCCTACCATCGACAGTTGTTAACTGGGGTTACAAAGGGAGGTTATAAATAATTACATCAATAGTTATTTTATTTTCAATGTCTTTATGGTTTCTTCGACTCTACTATCTTGACGGTAGTTTTATTCCACTACATTAACACTTACTTCTTTGATTGCTTTATTTGCATCCGAGATTGTTGACTCCGCTTTTTTTCGATTCTTTCAAGCCATGATTCATCAAGTTGTTGATACTTTAAATAACCAAACTCTACTTTTATCGACTAAAGATTCAATGGTTCGCTCTAGTACTGACACATGACGGTAGACATGATTGACTTATTATAATTTAATCGAGTTTCGATGGTTGAATTAAGATTCAATTGTCATTTGGATTTGGCATAGAATTTTTGTTTTTAATTGATTCTCGTAATCAATTTATTAAACACATCCAATGATAAAAGAAAAGTTACGTTCTTTTCTTGGCTGATGACTTATGACTGAAAATGTGCTTAATTTGACGAAGTGTTCGAAATACCACGATCATATTCCATCAACACGAGTTTACAACTTTCGTACGAATTTAAACGCTTCTAAGTTGATTGCATGAATTACAATTTTTCAAGATTTCATTGCACTATATAACAAGTAGGTTTTTTTATACAAGTACAAAGATAATTACTTTAGGCTTCATTTATTTCGCGAAAAATGAATGGTTTGAAAAATATTTTTATAAAAATAATTTCTTATACTGCTAGAAAATATTAGTCAAAGAAGAGCAATAAAGGTTATCATTCTAACCACAAGCCAAAAAAAAAATAAAAGCATATGATGTTGGCTTATTATACAGTTGCTCGGCTTCTAGAAGGGCAGGAAGTCAATAATTATCTTCATCTCATTCAATCATCTCTCAAACGTTAAACACGTAAAGGGTAGAATTGGGTGCTGAGCTAGATATAGATACAGCTAAATCAAGGGAGTTGGGCATCTGGACACAAGTATCGGCACATTAAATAAAGAACACAGTTCTATCAATCGGCCAGATATATACACCTAGACAGGCGAGACGGCCTATTCAATAGCAATACCCTTACCGTGGTGAGGTATCCTTGTAACCACACCAAGAATCTACGGCAATAATTCTCTTCATCTCATTCAAACTTCACTTATTCATGGAAAAATATTATCTAGAAAATATCAAACTTTTCGTAAGCACCGTGTGGAAAAATTTAATGATGTACGGTTAAATTACCGACAAAATGGTAATTTATAGCGACAAACATAAATCTGGCGTTATCCTTGTCTTTCAATTTCAATCTAATTTCTTTCATCTCACAAAAAAGAAAACTTATTTCCTATCTTACCCCCTAAAAAAGAGAAATTCTTCATTCGATTGCTAATTTGGAACGTATCGAAATGGGATTACAACTATCGTTGACCAAACGCAACCACGCGGCAGGTAGAAAATCACGCCTAAAATAATATATTCAGAAAAATGATGTAAGCGCGAAATTCTTCCAGCCAATCACGTGATCCCACGTGTCCAAGCGTATTAAAGGGAGTGGGAATGGTATTATTAATGGGAAATTTTTTAATATTTTCTTTCTTTTGTCTTCTTTTGGGTCGTTGGTCCATGCGTTGAAGGCCAATTCGCGAGTCATAATTAATTAATTAGTTCCCACTTTTTTTTTAATGACGCAATTTTGCCAGCTGTCACGACAGGTGTCCGCTGTGCGTACGTTGTCCAAGTCCACGGCAAGACCTCATGTACGAGTACGCGTTGACCTGGCGCGTGCGACAACGCAGCCTGAATTTTTTTTTTTTGTCGAAAACACGGTAAAAAATGTTAATTCTTCGTGGAGTTCATCTTATTTGATATTAGAAAATGAAAAATTGAAAATGCAAACTAGTCATTTATGAATGAATTAGAAATGAACTCTAATCGAATTAATCGTATGCAATTAACTAGTTGTTATCGTTTCTTTGCGGCCGAATCGCTCTTATATATCTTACTGACGTCGAGATGTCATGCATGATCGTGCACGTAATTGCGTAAGTGTGTAATTTCGGGTATGATTGTAATTGAGCGAGGCCGATACACGGTCAAGTTTGAAGTCGATCACTTGTTCTTTCTAATTATATTTCATAATTATATTAGCATGCAGAAGCACAACAAAATAATCGCATCATCTCATACAAGAAATCCAAATAGTTTAATATACGTATGCTTTTTTTATACAAACATTGTAGTTGCTAACTTAATACAATGTTCAAGCAAAACACAATTACATAAAATCTTGGGAAGGGTCAGGATCGCTTATCACTGACGCTTTACTCTCACGCCCCAAAACTCGCTTGCTCAAAAGTCACATACTAAACTAAAGATCGATAACATTGCCCATCGACATGTTGTCGTCAATATCGAAGCCCCTCGGTGGTCTAACTAACTCACCGCCAATTCAGTTTTAAGCACATCTTGGTATTCACGATCAAAATACATGGGAGCTCCGAAAAAGCAGTGGCGGTAGGGGATTTATCCAACATATATGAAAAGTAAAGCGGTGAGCTGAGATCTAGTAAATAAAATCTTTAAATTTAAAGTAGAAGATCATCTTACTACTCAATCTGGTACTGACAAACAACGTGAGTTCAAAACAGTATAATTAACTATGCATGACAAATGTAGAAGTAAATGCATCAACTTACCTATGATGATATGTCGATGAAAATATTACAACATTGCGTAAGATTATTCATTCAAGTGTAAGTAAATGTCATATTATTTCATGATGTGCAAATATCATGAGGTGGCTTACCACTATAAACATGAGATATCTATTCTCTACTCGTCATGAAGCTCACCGACATACACAGTGTAGTTTATACTGGTCCTGAAGCTCATTGATATACATAGGTGATAGTTCATACTTGTCATGAAGATTATCGATATACACAACTGAATGGCCAGGACCCATTTCAACTTAGAGGCATCCCAAACACTCCCCGGGCTACCCGACACCCGGGGCATCGTCACCACCAACTCTTGGGGAATGGAATCATAAATAAATATTTGCCATGCCACATAACCCGATCATCACGGGTCCTCTACATCAAGGATGATTAATACGCCATTGTATGACAGCATGATGATGGTCAACATAGGCTAACACGAGCCAACTCCAGCTATGCTAGCCAACTCATATCGTGTGTAAATTATAAGGCTTTCATGTCCATTCAACCTTGTAGAAACCCGTCTCTAGATGGTAAAATATATGGCTAACTCCAGAGTTTTTCACACATGCTCATACTAGGGTACCGGCTGTGTTAAAGGTCTCCCTCA